ATTAATTAATTTTCATAGTCAAAGTAACTTTTATTATTATTTAAATTAAGAGTGCAATCATTTTCTACAGGGTGATTGAAAAGTAACTCCCTATTTTATGTATAATGAATCCTCTCATCTTATAAAAGTTATAGTTAGAAAGGAGAATCCATCATACATCAAATATGGAGTTACTTTTAGGGCCAGAGATAAAGACATAAGAGAGGAATTGAGTTAAACAAATAACAGAAAAACAGTAATACAAACAAGTGTTACAGCAAGAATATTTGGTTTGACTATCAGAGCTGACTGCTGGAAACTACCCTCCTCTAAAAAGCAGTACTTGCTCTTATTTATAGCTGGGAGAGTCCATGCATACATGGCTAAATAACTATAACACTTTTCAATCACCCTATATATAAAAAATATTAGTGCATACTAAGTGTTTAAAGTTTATCCCAAAATTTTTATTTGCAATTACCTGCCACATGTCATGATTAAATTTTCTGTTTGTTTATCCTTTTTAAAATTCTTTCTCCTATTTTCAATTTAGTTTATGATAAGCTGAAAACATAACAATTAATATTGTTTGTTAATGGTTAATTGAAGTTTTTCAACCAACAATTGATAGAAAAAAAATATAATTTTCTTGTTTTGTTTATTAAAGCAAAATTATTTCTTACATTTACTAATATTTTTTTATATTTAGAAATAAATAATACAAATATCTAAATTTAAGTCCTTCAAACTTCATTTTTCATTCAGGTTTCATTTGTCAGTTTAAAAAAGAAACACTTAAATTTTGCATATTTTTTGTGTGAGTGTGTGTACTTAATTTATTAAAAGACCAACACTATTGGTGAGAAATAAGAATATTTTAAGAAATTAGTTACTTTTAGAATAAATATAATAGAATTTTGTATCATCCTAGCATCATTGCAAAAAACTTAGCCCATCATACCAAATTAATATTTTATCGTTTCTAGAATGATGTAATTTTTTGTGATTCTCACTTATAGTTACAAACCATTTTTCCATGACATAATTTACAATAACATGTACATATAAAAATTAAATTATAGTATTTCTTAAAGGTGGCAATATGAATCAGAAATGCTGTATCCTGTCAGAAGTCTCACTTTTCAATAAAAATGGAGGTGCTTACTTCTACAGGACAATAACTGTTCAAATGACACAAGGTTGTTTAGTTTTAGGCTAGCTTTGTGCATCCACTTCAGAAAAAAAATTAAAGTCATAAAAATATTTTTTAACCAATCAGAAAAGTTCCATGCAGCTTCAACTAACAGTTAATTTCTGAGCCTCTCCAACACTATATAAACCACCATTAATTCAACTCTGCGGGAGAAGCCTGATCTGTTTGTCCATCATCCATTTTGGCTGGGCACTCACTAAAAGTACTTACCCATTGAAGCCCAATGTTGATGAATGGACAGCCAGGAGACTGATGTTAACAACAGTAGCCAAGGCCACTGTTGTAACATAGGGAAGGTTACTGAATAGAATAATCACATGAAGGTTGGTAATGAACGATAATGCTTAGGACAAGAACAACACATATAAGATTCGCCAGTGGTGCATAGAAGAAGTAGTCAACTGCTAGAAATGAGTCAAGTGAATTCCACAATGAATCTCCAACTGCAGACCAACATACAGTATTTACTACTGTATTTATGTGAATGGGGATATACTCATTATCATCCATAGTTATGCTACAACAGCCACTATGCAATGAAAACTTTTAGTTCTATTATATAATAAAGCTAATGCATATATTTTCCTCATATAACTTTTCTCACATAACTTTAATGCAACACCAACATTTATGTATGAGACAGAATCCAGACATGAACTCTCTTTTTTTTTTATACATCATATGAAACGAAAGAATAAATTCATTTTAACAATGTTATAATGAGCATTTGGTTGCAAAGGAAAGGAACAAAAAAAAGATCAAGATTTCAAAAATGTGTATTCATCATATATACATAATATATTTATAATTGTTTGAAATTTGGCAAAAATTGTTTGTATGTGAGTACTTAGCTGCTGTAAGGTGGGTCGGTCAAGTGGAATGTCTCTGTTGGATTTTAGTTGAATGTAGGATGGTGACAGTGAGTGGTGATCATATCGGTGACAGTACCCATGTGCTGACAGATGGCCATTTGGCTCACAACTGTGTTAATCATTATGAGGGGCTTTCTTTTAAGCAAATCTGGTAGTCCCAAGGTAGTCCACATTTTTTTTTTCTGGCAGGAACATTTGTGATTGGCTACTGTATTTTTGGATTTTTATAGGGATTTGATTTATGGATCAGATATGATGCTTGGAGCCCCTGCATGGAAGATGACTTTTTTTTATTTTATTTTGTGTTTTGCTTTCTTGGTACTCACATATAACCAACATGCAAAGTGAATCAGAAGGAGATCTAATTGCAACAGAGTATAACAACAATGGCTTGTCCCTATTGTTATGTGTCATCTTTCATTCTTTTTCTGTTAGCATGAGTTATGATACTCTAGGCAATACACTTAAACAAAGCTGTTTCATACTTATTGGTGCTGTAGTTCCTGCAACAGAACTTTTCTATATTGCAAACTGATAGCATTAATTTTGTCTTAAAGATGGCTTGATGATGTACAAGAACTAAAATGATTATAAATTTTGGACAGACACTTTATAAATTTGACTCAATTATATGGCAAAATCATATGTTGACCTGAAAGATTTATACTGATTATTACATGTGCATCATGAATGATTATGAAAATCTATATAAATTTAAATTTGATAAAACAAATAAATTTTATACTCTTAAATTATAACAGACACATCATGAAAATATATTTTATAAGTTGACTAACTTCAAACAAAACAAAACTTAACTTTTATTAATTATTATATATGAGCAAAATTCATACGCACACACATATATATATTATATATATGAGCAAAATTAATATGCACACATTTTAATATTTTTGAAAGTATTTGATGAAAAAGTAAATCTCTAATGAATTTGTTCTAATTGCTTAAAAATTTATGTTGTAGTTGTTATCCAAATATTAATGTTTTCTTTTGTAGATTATATGTCTGCCTTTCAGATGGAAATGGAAAGAGATGTACAGTAAATAATTACTTTTCAGAGTTGATTATCAAAAATATTGTTTAAATAGATGCAAAACTAACAAAGAAAAGGGTAAAGAATTAAGCAGAAAGTCAAAAGCCAACAAAAATACTTTTAGAATTTTTTATATTTTTTGCCTCCTTACAGTTTTATTTTACATAGTATTTTTATATATGCAAACTGCTGTAAGAATTTTGAACTTATAGCTTATGATTTCTATAATGTTTTAAACTGGTCTGACTCCAACCTCTAAATAATATAGACAGACATTATTAAATTACAGAATTATATTTTTAATTTAAAATGTGATTGCATATAAATTTTGGAAAACAATTACACATTCAACATATAAGTGAATACAGAGAAAATACTTTTTCTGGGATGCATTTTATGAACAGAATATTTAGATTAATTTTGCTTTCTCTATAAGTTATTTTTAACTTGAAAAAATAAACTAATTAGTTTTATTAGGAACAGTTATAACTTTTTAAAAAATACTATGAGAAAAAAAGCAAAATATCTAGTGAGATGTTTTCATTGCAACAGCTGGAAATAATACTTGCCTGTGTCTGATTTATATGTGAAATAAATAATAAATTTCTAACAATATTTGATGGTTTTCTAATAGATAAACTATATCATTTTTGTACATTTTTCGTTTTAAATGAAATGTTTGTTTTCTTTTGACTGTAAAAATTATTTCAGAATTTGTTAATGTTATTAAAATTAGAGATTTTTTCTAAATTTAAAATGTAACATTTTCTGTATAATCAGAAAGAAACATTTTCCCATACTTTTAGCAAGAACAATTTCTGAAATTATAAAAATATTTTACTGAGTAAAGTGAATATTTTAGCAAGTACAAAATATTTAATTATTGAATAATATATGACTGATATTTAAATAATGCTGTTTATGTTTTTATTTCATATGACATCAGCATAATACTGTCTTTTTGAATTAAAAGCTTAATGACTCAAAAGTTGAATTGTGCATTTAAATTTTGTAGGCTCCTGTTAAAAATCAGCAAGTCATGTTAAAAAAACATTTTTCATTTGAACACTAAATTTTGTAGAGAATGTAATTCTAATAGTATTAAATATAAAAAGTCAAATTACTTGAAGTTGACTTTAAATGTGAACTTACTGCATACTGAAAATATAAATAAATTTTTATAAAACTCATAAGAGATGAAATTAAAATAAGAATTATTAGGAAATAGAACATTTTTCTTGGCAATTTAAAAAATTCAATTTTTGAAGTTCTCAATTCAGCTTTTAACTCCTGTAGTGCTCATTTTTGTCAGTTATTTGTTTTTTTTAATGAAACGTATTTTGTAACTGTTTTGCGTGGTAAATGATTCATGAAAAATAAATGAATTGTTAAAAAATTACTGGGACCAAAAGAAAATGTATGACTCACATTAGCAATTTTTACACTTGAAGTGGCATCAGAAATACACTAAGCAATAATAATAATATTAATTTAGTCATTTTAAAATCATGATAAAATTTTAATCATTTTAAAAGAGATCTCTTATCTGTAAAAATAACTTAGGACAAAGCACAACAAACAACTTTTTATGAGGTTCTTCTATTTATTAAAAATAAACAATACATTAATAGAAGGGAGATAATTTTGTACATAAGAGATGGCAATAACTGAGGAGCAAAAAGCCGGAAAAATACAGTTCATCGCATCAACACCGTCGCCATGATATTAAACTTGAAGAACATAAGCGGCCTTATCAACCAGTTTTACCGCCATTTGCGCTGAGTCGTGTTTTGCGATTTTCCGAGTCGCTTTATCAGCGGTTTGGTTGTTTTTCCACCGAAAAACCATCCATAATATGCAATAAATATATACACACGCCAAAATGTACATCAAGCAGGTAAGAAAATTTGTTTTGTGCTTTTTGTTTTGTTAGAATGGAAAAAGAAAGAGAAAGATCATTATTGTTTTTGAATTTAGGAACACCCGCACGCCCGGGAATAATCGATTCTTTCGTTTGTTTTTATTTATAATATCGATCAACATAAAAATCTTAATTTATTTAATTGTTTTCGCAATTTGTTTTATATAATTAAGAAGAAACATAATTTCTCCATTTAATTTTCTTTAATTTTTGAAAATCAAAAGTCGATTTGGAGATAAATTTAAAGAATTAAAAATCAATTAAATAAAGTAACGATGAATATTTTGATCGACTTTTATTTTAATTTCTATTTATTTTTTTTTTTTTTTAAGATTATTAAATTGTCCTTTAACAGTCCTTATCTTTAAATATTAAAGCAACATTTGTGACTTGTTGGAATAATGTAAATTGTAAAAGAATTCAATGTGTGTGTACACTATTATTTAAAAGTACACACACGTTATCAACCCCATTTTTTGCTCGTAAAAGTCTCTGATCATAAAGTAAAATATTATCAATGGTCTGAAAAGTTGATTTTTCAGAATCGTAACTCACACACACCTCCAAAATATAGGATGGCATTGGTAGGAGAAACCAATCTGTTAAAAGTCCATATTTTTAATATCGTTATTATTGTTTTTAAAATATAAAATCATTTAAAATTTCTCTATATGTTTGTCAGTTTTTCAAATTGAAACAAAACTTCCATCTATTGTTTACAAATTGTTTAAAATATTTCTGCTCTTTTTCAATATGGCTTCACGCTTGTTTTCGTTTGCATTAAAAAAATTCTTAAAATTCGAATATTAACTGTTTTTAAAATATACAAAAAATATTTTTATTCTAAAATTAGTCTCCTTATCTATTTTAAATTTTATTTTTATATTTTGATTTAGCGTAAATAATTCGATGGAATTCAGGAATAGGAATATTTTTTTAGATTTTATTAATAATTCGAAATTCCTCAATTATCATTCCAATATAGACATACTGTCTTTGTTAACTTTTATTTTCCTTAAATAATTATTGACTTTAAACTATTTTAGTGTACTGTACACTTTTTTTGGCAACTTCTTCACAAATATTCCTGGTGGAAATACTTTTTTATATATTTTTTTTAAATTAATTCTAAATTTTTCTTTCAAAAACCTTTTGAAAATTTTTTATTATTGTAAGAATTTTGATCAGACGTGAAAAAGATTTTTTAATCATTTTTAAAAAAAAATGATGTAAACAATCAAATTTGATTGAAGCCAATTTTACCAAAGTTGTTTTTTCAACATCTTTATTATTTTTTTTGTATAACATTTAACAACGTGTTCGAAATATCGAAAGTTAATTTGATTTTATATAAATTATTTTATTATTTTTCGTTTAAGTGAAATCAAGATAAACTTATTTTTTAGACCAAAAATAAAAAAAAATGAACTTATTGGAAAAACAGACAAAAAATCTTCAATTAATTTCGTTGACATCAATTCTTTGAATCTGTTATACTGGATTCGGTCATAGCAAACATGAAGAAATCTCTTAAACTGATACTACTAAGTATCCAGCACAGATTTATGAAGTTTCTTGATTTTAAAACCATTGACTGATTTCCCCCATAAATGATTTTGTGAGTACAATTGAAAATTGATAGAATCTGGAAAAATTAGAAATTGGATTAAATCATGGAGACAAAATTTGGTAATTTTTGATGGTAAAGCAACATCTTGGATATATATTAAATCTGGGGTACTCCAGGTCTATATCTTTGACCCCATTCTGTTTGTCATAATAATATTGACACACATATTATTATTGTACTATCCAAGTTGGTTTTGTTTAATATCTGATGTTGCTCTTGCCTTCATATTACAAGATGATTTTCATTCTCTGGATAAATGGAGCAAAGATTGACAATTGTTGGTGTTGAATTTTGAGATAAAGATAAATGTCTGCACATTATTTACATTATTCGGACTATTGTCCTCATCTTTCTCGCCATATTTATTACAATATTTCGGCTGTTGTATGCTCTGGCCTTCTTCAGGTGGTTGGAATGCCGAACTGAACCCTTTATTTTGCTCACTGGGGTAGATTGTTCTAGTTCCATGTGCCATGTTTGATGGATGTCAGTTATCAGTTATCTCCTGTTAATTTCCCTCTGAAAGTTCTCCACTGCCTTAACCAGATATTGAACTCACACTCTTTGGGTCCTGTCACTGGATCTAACCAACGCCTTTATCCACTGTGCCAAGTGTCCTCAAAGACACATGGTACAGTGGATAAAGGCATTGGTTAGATTCACCCAAAGAGTGTGAGTTCAATACCCGGTTAAGGCAGTGGAGAACTTTCAGAGGGAAATTAACAGGAGATAACTGATAACTGACATCCATCAAATGTGGAACTAGAACAGTCTACTCCAGTGAGCGAAATAAAGGGTTCAGTTCGGCATTCCAACCACCTGAAGAAGGCCGGAGTGTACAACGGCCGAAACGTTGTAATAAATATAGCGACAAAGATGAGGACAATAGTCTGAATAATGTAAATAATGTACATAATACCTCATCTCAGAAATATAGACAGACTATAAATGTCTGCACTTTGGAAATCATAATCCAGAATATGATTGTTGACAGAAATATATAAGACGACTTGGAATCTGGATACACAGAGCGTTAAAGCCTTTTCATCACATACCAAAGTTGTAATTAATGCAAGCAGAATTCTAAGTGTCATGAACTTACCTACTTAAACAAATCAATGAAAAATATCCTGATGCTATACAAATCAGTAAAACCTGTCCTAGAATATACACACCAGGCTTGACATTCCTGGTTTGTTAAAGATATTCAAAAGATTGAAGCAGTTCAGAGGTGAGCCACTGTTTTCATAAGTATACATACTATCAGAGATTGTAATTTCTTATCCTTAGAAGATAGAATAAATCAAGATGTTTTGATTGACACATTTAAGATTTTGAATGGATTTAGAGATATTTATTATAGAAAATTCTTTGAACTTAGATCTTTGAGAGGACAGGGTAAAACTTTAATCAAGCATCACAAGAAGAAAGGTACTCATTTTCATTACTTCTCTCAGAAAGTCAATAACAGTTGGAATGAACTTACAGATTAAAGTATTTTGTGAAATAACAGTTCAGGACTTTAAATACATACAGAAACAAAATACATGTAAATCAGAGAGGACTAAAGGCCAATAGAACTCCTGTGTCCTTGTTAACTTTTATAGTGTATTATTTGCATATTGCTTGAAATTGGGCACTTTTTGTTTGTACTCATTAAACTTAAGAATAGAACTTAACATCAGTATTGACTTAAAATTTTAAGCTTAAACTATTCCTCATTTAACTTGTTTCATCAATCTCTAAAGACAAAGTTGACTTAATATCAAAACAATTTGAAAATAAAAATACTGCATTTGAATTTACTTTGTAATATTTTTAAAATATTTAATTAAAAAAATAATTTGTGCACAGAATATCACATATGTAATAAGCTATTTAATTACAGGCATTTTAAAATATTACATGACATTGGTAAGAATTTTGTAAAAAATTGCCTAATTTACAATCTTGTGCAGTGTAATATCTTTTGACATAATTGTTTGGTTTCCTTTAACCAGTAATATTTAACAATCTTTTCCTGACCTTGTCACCTATACTTGCATTGTCTCTTAACACCTGAAGATGAATGATAATACATGAGAAAAGAAAATACAATTGAATTTAATTATTATTACATTTTTATTAATAATTTTTCATATGTCATTTCCAAACATTGACACTGTTCATAATCACTTTAAATTGAATGCTTATTGAACTAAGACTTGAATAAAAAAATTACAGTATCCCATTGATATATTTATTGCATGCTTTTTAAAACTTTTTAGCATCTTGTCTGTCTTGATAGTTTAATGAAAGCCTGGATCAAAAATCACTATTTTGAATTAATGTTTATATTATGGAGAAGACAATTGTAATGTTCAGATATATTATTCTGACTTTATATAAGTAGAATTTCAATTTTAAAATGGATTGGAAAATTATTAAAGCATATACATTCTCTTGTGTTTCTTTTGGTAGTTGGGGGGGAGGTCCTGTTGATGGTGAGTCAAACATTAGGAGTTAGTTTGTAGTCTGGATAAGAGGTGGTCAGGACATTCCTATAACTGATATGTTTTATTTGTTGATGAAGCTTCTGGAGGTATACATATGGTCAAGAAAAAGATTGTGTGTTGAAGCATTGTGAACCATCTTTCTTCAGTTCTACTTGAGTAAAATATATATATATATATAAAATATATATATATATATATATATACTCACACACACAAGCTTCATTAAAAATGGCTGACAATGTACTGCAGCCAACAAGGAAAGTAAACTGCAGTCCCTTGTCAGTCGTTTTTAATGAAAATTGTATAAGAGGGATTGTTGCTTAAATAAAGACACTTATATATATTAAAATTAGAGTGTTAATATTATATAAAAAAAGATGACTTAACTTTTAAATATTAATTTTACCCTGACTTCAAAGTTTCTTGGTAAGATTTCTGTTCTTCACTATTAACTTTTAATAATCAAATTATATTATTAAATAAGAAGAGTGAGATGATGGGTTGATGCCAAAATATTAACAAATATTTACTTTGTCACTTTAATAATAACATAATAAATCAATTAATAATACAAATACAAAATAAAATAATATAATTTAATTAATAATACAAATTAAGAAATATTAGAATTTAATTAATAATATAACATAAACAATAATATTGTCCTAATGTAAACATTGCTATCATTTTGTTTCTTTCTTGTTAAGATGAAAGAAACCAGGAGATTTTAATTTAACAAATGAATTCTTTATAAACCTTATATATGAGAAAAATTGTTTACATTGACTTAATGAATGAATTGACTTAGACATCATGATAGTAACAGTTGATGTTTCTGTTGAGAGGAAAGTTTTAGTGCTTCTAGGAAGTAAACAAAAACAGTATCTGATAGAATGTGATAGCCAGACTGAACTGAACCACTCCTGACTTCTTTATTTTTCCTTGTTATTGCTTTTTGAAAGTCAGCTTCTCTGTTGCTCTTTAAAAAACATTTTTCATTATTTTTTTTCTGGAACTCTATTAAAGCATTTTACAAATCTGTATATATACACAAAAATATTTTTTATGGCCCTAATTATTATAATTTATACTACCTTTATTTTTAGTGAATAATGTTTAGTTGGGTTTTAACTATTGAGGTGTTATTCTATTGATATTTTTTTTTTTATTAAACTTTAATTTAAAATATTAAATAACTCTTTGAGTCTCTGATCAACAAGATCGTTGTTGATCATTTCAAGAGGAATGACAAACCGCATATATTTTTGGTCTACTGTTGATGTCCTAAGCATCATTACACATAGAATCAGTAATGCATTAGCCAATAAATTCATTAGATAGATGTGGTATATTAGGTTGTTATACAAGCTCTCCAACATAGAATCTCTGGAAGAGTTTTCTCAGTTATCATGTCAATTCTAACAGGTAGGTCCATGAACGTTGCTGTTAGTAGTTGGTCTTCTGAAGTCCATCTGATCGATGCAGACATCTTTTAAGACTCCTTACTCAGTCCTATCCTCATATTCAGATCTGTCGTAAATTTCTATGCAGATGATACAACAGTGTACCTTCCAAAATCTAGATGACCAGACTGGCAGCTGATCTCTCCCCTAACCTAGCTCTGACAGATTAATGAGAGAAAGACTGTCTTGTAACATTCAGTACCTACAAAACTGAACTAGTAACATTCCATTCACCATTGAGCAGATCCTGAATTTTCACCTTTCATGATGAATGGTTGTTCTCTCAAGGAGCCCACTTGCACTGAACATCTATTGGGACTAAAATTCACCCCAGACCATCATATATATGATCTATTGCTAAAGTCCTTGTGGGTGATGAATTATTTTCCATTCTACAACCCCTTTTTGGCAGACAAAACATTGTAAGCCTCTTGCTGCTCTCTTGCTATTTCTATGGCAAATATTCTAATGATCAGAATTCCTTAGTACTACCAGCTCTGACCTTCACAGCTGAAACCTGCCATGTTATGTACACTAGAATGAATCCTCCCTGTTCTGTTCATATTCTGGTAGCAAGAAAGAACTTCCATTTGGACAGCTTCTCCCCCTCCCCTAAAATGTTGCTTCATGGAACAAACTTCTGGGAGGATGCTACCCTGACCACAAAAATCTTAACTTCTTTAAGTTTAGGATTAACTGTTATCCTTCCTACATATTCTTTTAAGCTACATTTCTTACCTCTTCCTCTTACACGCAACAACCTCAATCAGTAACCCTTTACCTTCAGTAGCTCATGGGTCTTGTATTGAGTGAACAATTAGTAAAAAAAGATTCTAAATAAACTCCATTTATAGATCACTTGAAATTTAATACATTAGTACAAAATGCACATTATTTAGAAGTTTACTCTGAAGTGTTTATTACTTTTATTTTTCATATATTATTTTACATAATGTAAACAGTAAACTTTTTGTATTTGATTCTATTTGTTTTTTTATTATTCCGTAAGGTAATTATCCAGGGTTTCCGGAGTTACCGTGACCAGACTGTTGTAGAGCCTTTCAGTCCTAGACATAATGTCATCGGTGAGTTTTTTCTTTCTTTCTTTCTTTCTTTCTTTCTTTCTTTCTTCTCTCTTCTTTTAAAAATCATTAAAATCTGGAAAGTTTCTTCAAATGGTTTGCTTAAAAGTAAGTACCTCCACTAATTCAGTATACGTAAGGTTTAAAATGAATTTAAAAAAAAATAAGAAAGCTTTCTTGAAACTTTCATTTTAGCTTTAATTAAAAGGATTTAAAATTTACTATTACCTGTAAGCAAAATACTCTGTGATGTATTTCAAACAAATTGATCGGAATCAATGATTTTTTTTTTAATCTAATAAAATTGATAAAATCAGCCATTTTGACATGTTTATAAACAAAATTAATTCTCGGTTTTAAAAATTTTGTAAAAACAAAATATATATTTCGGAAACATTATTTGAGGGAAATTAGCAAATTTAAAGTTAAATTAATCTGATTTGAAACATATTACTTATAGCATAAAATGTTGTATACAAGCATTTCTTAACTATGGGGTCTTGTTTTTCCGATGTATCGATCTATTTATCGACTGTCTAACGTGTTGACAAGTTAAGTATGATGACGCAGAATTGTTAGCAGACAATAATTTTTATATGAAGGGGTTTATTTTTCATAAGGCAGTACAATCCTTAAAACATGTGACCTTTTAATGATAATGTTATGTATGAACTTGCATATTTAGAAAAATTAGGACTTATTAACAGACAAAAAAATCAAAAGTTTTTAAAAAATATTCTAGGTCATCACATTGTAATGGGCTTTACAATATATCATTAATAAATATAGTTCTACTTACTGACAATATTAGTTACACTATTGAAACTGAATTTTTACAATTTTAATCCTTATAAATTATTCAATTTAAAATTGTAAAAAATGAAAACAAATCTTGTAAAAATTCATTTTTCATCAAAAAATTTTTTTTCTTCAGATAATATATATTATTCATAAAACGAATTAAAAGCTTCTCTAATTAAATAATGTCTTAGTTTTATTGTGTTTTTTATCTTTTGATTCAGAATAGATTTTTGGTAAGACTGGTTATTGATTTTGCAAAAAAAAAAAAAAAACCCAAAAAACTGTGATTTAAATTCTTCAAAGAATTCTGGTAATATAGTCACTAAAATGATCATGTTGAATTTTTGCAAGTTTTCATAAAATTAAGTAATGTGGTAAAACATGTAAAAAAAAAAAAAAAAAAATTTACCAATATTTTCTAATAAAAAATTTAAAAAATAATTTCATTCATTTGTGAATAAGTCCTGAAAACTCAATAAAAATGCAACAATTATTTTATTTTCAAGAATTTCCAAATGAATGTGTCTGTCACTGCAAAAAAAAAGCTAAAAGTTAGTACATCTGTTGACTCAAGAAAAACAAGTTTTTAATAAAAATTTTGAATGTTCTAAAAAGGAGTAAAAAAAATTTCATTAAATATTCAAAAAAATACTTTGATTCTTCCTCTTAATAATAAAGATTTTGACAATGAAAATGTTTTCATTACATTTGGAGCATGTCTTCATCACAGTATGCTAATTTTTTTTAACAATTTTGTAGAGGTACCTTGGAAGCATAAAAGAATTTATGACTGAATGTTTTCATCTTCATTAGTTGAAAATGGTGGGAGTGAATGTTGTGTTGGGTGGAAGAGAAAAAGACAAAATGCCATAAAATATGCTATACGTCTATATTATGAATAGCCATGCAGCCTGGTCTCCCCTTCTTAGCAATAATATATTTCATTGTTATGGTAACGGGGATATGATGCACCACAAATAAGTAATATTGCATGTTACCACAATAATTTCTTATTAGTAGGTAGGGGAGATCAAGCTGCTAATATCTTTTGTATTTTTTTTGTTAGCTTTCTTTTAATATTTTTACTTTTAATGACTTATAAAATCAGAACTCTTTTTTTACATGTGACAATAGTTAAATTGTAAAGATAAAAATTCAATATTACTCATACAGAAAATATAAGCAATGTAATTGCAAAATCATTTAAATATTACTGTCATTATTTTTTTTAAACGGTATGTTATATAAATATTTAGTAAGCTTAGACTGGCCCATGTCCCAAATAGAAAGATTCTATTGCTACAATCTTTCAAGTAGTATGTTTTGAAACTTGAATTTGAAAATCCTTTCTTTTACTTTGGTTTGATCACTTGACCTGAAATTCATTTTTTATATATATATATATATATATATATATATATATATATATATATATGTGAGAGACAGAATTAATGGATTTATTTTAATCTAATGTTTTATTACTTCAAATGTTATTATTATAGTGGATATTTGTATTTAAAATAGACACTTCAGTTTTATTTTAAACTGTGTATTATGGTTATCACCTGCATATCCCTGCTGGAGTGCACGATTTCTTTATTTAAGATTTTTCAAATGCATGTGCAGAGCACGTTAATAGGTATAATATACACTGTTAAAAATAAAATGGAAAATGGAGTGTCTATTTAAAATACAATAAAATGGAATGTCTATTTTCAAATAATATAATAATGTTTGAAATATATGATTAATACAAATATAAAATTTATCACTCAGCATCCTGGGTTTTGTAGATGTACTTTTATATATATATATATATATATATATATATATATATATATATATATATTTCATTTCTTTCTGTGGTAGACCAGTTGCCATCCAAGGCTATAGAACCCGGTGTGTCCTGCTATTTACCCATAGCTGGGGGGAGAAGAAGCGGATTCATACCTTCTCCAAGGGTATTAGCACGTAAGTGAATGGATTTGACTTGAATTCGAACTTGGCTCTCTGATTCCTCGATCCGAGTTGCTATCCATTACTCCACCATGCCTACATTTCCGATTAGAGCACTCTTCAAACTATCTCTTGAGAAAGAAAGCTTAAAATTACTTAATTCATGTCAATTTTGCATCCCTATGAAAATGGAAGATTATAAGGTGCATTTTATACAGTTGATGCTTTTTTTTTTTTTTTTACTGTAAATGCAAAAATGCCTCACAAGAAAGAGAAAATATATGTGCTGTGTACAGTGAAGGTGCTTTAACTGATAGAACTGTATGGAAGTGCTTTGCTAAGTTTAGAGTTGGTGATTGTAACCTTATTGATGAAGAGCTGACCCCACACTACAGATGACAACCAAATTAAGACATTGGTTGAGAATAACCTTCATTACATGATGTGTGAATTGGCAGAAACACTAAATTTATCAAAATGTACCATCCATGAGCACTTAGTGAAGCTTGGGTACTCAAATCACTATGATGTTTGGGTACCACAAGTGAAAAGAATCTTTTGGATTGCATTTCATCAAAGTAAAATCTTTTTATTATTACCAAGTAAAAAAAAAAATAAAATAGTTTTTTTCAGTTAAATTTTGTCATCTCCAACTATTTAATTAATTTTTCTTACTTATATATTTTTTTACACAAGAGTCAAATTTCATGTTTATTTTGGTGTATGTGTGTGTTTGTTTTATTTCAAAAGTAGCAAGCCTTCAGCTTAATGTCTTGATTTTGTTTTAAACTTTATATTGTTATAGAAAATTGCATAATAAAATAGAAAAATGAAACTCCAATAAATATATTTTATGATTCTAAGTTGATATTAATTTAATTTCAGTTGGCAGAAATGGTTCAGGAAAAAGTAATTTCTTTTATGGTAAGTATATAATTTTTATATGTATTTGTATGTGTTGAAACTTGACTAATGCATGGAATAATAATGCAACACAAAATGTACTTAGAACAAAATGTATTGAAACAAGAAAGTGTACACAATATTTACATATAGACTTTTCTATATTCCTGGGAAGACCATTCCTGGAGAATGTGTTGACTTCGTCGCAGTCGGGCAGTCTCTCTGGATTGAATCTCTTGATTCCTCCCCTTTCTTCCCAGTACCAACCATATTTATATGGTCGGTACTTCACTATGCAAATTAGGTGGATCCTACCACAACAGTATGAAAGTTAATAAGTTTTATCATCACCTTTTTTTTTCTCTGTCCTATTTAGATTTTGAAGTATTGATTGTTTTTGTCTGGTGTTATTGCACTGATATTTTGATATTCAGATTTGTCAACAGTATTGATTGAAAAAGTAGATGACTGTGAAAGTGAATAGTTTATTAAAAACTTTTGCATAATCAAACAAGAAAATGTCCGGTTAATGTAATTGGTATCAGTGTAGAAAGTGAAACTGGCAAGCCATGTTCAAATTCTGGGCTGGTCTGTTGCATTCACTTTTACACAAATTTCATTGGGGAAAAATATGAATCTGTTTCATCTTATATATGGGTTAAATTTCAAGGTAGACTGTGCTCTTTCTGGGCAGCCAGAGAAGAAAAACTTTAAATTCTAAGCCATTGAGAAGACAAGGGGAAATTACTTCACTATTTTTCTTGAGAATGCATAATAATTCACAGAGAATAGAAAAAAGAAATCTATGGAGTGTTATGATTGCCCACATCCTGAAGCAACATGGCATTAAAATCTCTTGTGTATTCAGTTGCTAAAAAATACAATACTGCTTACTTTCAAGTATAATCAGATTTTTATAAATGTAACATCACCAGCTCTTACATAATGAAAATTAAATAAAATATAAAAACTTATTTAGGATTATGGGAATTTAACAAAAAATAATTAAAGGTTATAATTGCATTGTATTTTTTAAATAATTATGAATGTAAAGAAATCAGTTATTTAAATTGATGAATGAATAAGTACATAAAATAAGGATATTTTTAAAAAGATTCTGGGTTAAACTGATGAGAGAGTAAAATGCATTTTTAATTATTTCTGTTTCAATGGATAATTTTTAAAAATCAATGAAAAAGAAATTTTCTAACCAGATATCCCAGTTGACACCATCTAGTCTTTAATATTATAGGCAGTTTATTAAATGAAAGAAAATCCATAATCATCTATTGTATAGTTTCCTCCTAGAAAATGACTAACATCTTTTTACATTTCTTGTACTATTTATTAAGACAGTTGCATAAACAATATTACTTTTCTGTTTTCTTTTCCCACCCAGCTATTCAGTTTGTATTGTCTGATGAATTTAGTCACCTTCGTCCTGAGCAGCGTCAGGCATTATTGCATGAAGGTACAGGACCCAGAGTCATCTCAGCCTTTGTTGAGATCATTTTTGACAATTCTGACAATAGAATTCCGGTAAGCATTTTAATTCTTTTTTTTTTTTTTTTTTCTTTGCAAGTATTTAAAATACTATATTTGATCAATTCTATGTCAAAATTTAAAGTTGTACTTGTTTATTCCAAAATCATTACAGCAGTTAATGACCAGGATTTATGAAATGTAAAGTGTAGCTTGAAATATTCATGTCTTCAAATTTATTCAGATTTATTTTGACTGTACATTGTGCAAGCAAAATAAGTTTATGAAATTATTTTGAGAACTTTAAAAGTATTTTAAAGTATATTAAAAATTTCTCTTACAATTAAAGTTATGTCCAAGTCATAGTTACCAGTTCTCTTTTTGTGAATATATGGTTAAGATAATAATCAAATAATTGATTGAAATAATAGATAAAATTATTTTTTATTTAAAAGATTGATAAGGATGAAGTGGTCCTTCGGCGTGTAATTGGCTCCAAGAAAGACCAGTATTTCTTAGACAAGAAGATGGTTACGTAAGTATTTAAAATTTTTACAAATGTTTTGTGGGGAGACTCCAAGCTGGAATAGTTTAAGGCTGTACAGTCTTTTTATTTTCAACACAAAACTTGATTAGTTTGAAAACTTAAATTCTTATAAATAAATGTAACAATTGTACTGTTTGCAAATATCAAATCATTGCTTAGGTGATTATGGAATCCTGTTGTATATTGTAATGGCTCAATTCATACAGGGCAATAAATAAGCAGTAAAACTAGGCTACAGGAGAAACACTCAATGGTTTTACTAACAGATTGAGAAAAATGGTAATCAAAGCAGGAATTAATGAGAAGTTATAATAAAGAAAGGTTCAAACATTAATTAGAACCATAAATTGAAGATTGGAGAGAGCATAAGAACGGCTTGAAACCAAGGCTATAAATTTACATCAGTGGGAAGATAACTTTAAAGTGGGCCAAGAGTCAAACATTATCAAAATGGAATATGTCAAAGTTAAGCCAGCTGAAAATTAAAATAAAATATATATATATATATATATATATATATATATATATATATATATATATATATATAAAAGTGTATTTAAATATAAATAAATATATATATGTATAATTATTTATATATTATATGCGCGGTACTTATTAGAAAGCGCTCAATATCAGAGATAGAGCTAACATATTTGGTTGGATAGATGTGAGTTTGTGACCCTGGGTTTCACGCTTTAGCGATCGTCAGACAAACTCATATATATATACTGTACTGTACTGATGCGGCATTCACCCTGGGCGGATTGAACCGGCTTCTTCCTGTTATGAGAAGAAGATTCTTGGGATAAATTACAGAAGTAGGGTACCCAGGCCTACTCGGATAACGTTCTTGCTTGCCGCGGGGTTCCCACAGACGCAGAGACAGGAACGACCAGAAGCCGCCGGTTACCGATGCAGATGCTCCTTGGATTTTCACCAGAGCCCTTAGCCGGCGTGTGTGTCAGATCTGTCCGTCTTGGGTGGCCCTACCAGGAATGAAGTTCCGGGCAGCATAACTCTGACACTACCGTTTACACCCCCCCACCGACTGTGAGGTAAGGGTTGGACTTTGGGGGCTTACAGTACCAGGTGTTCCCAAGCGGTTCCCTCTATCTAAGTACTGACCTGGCTTCACGCTGCTTAACTTCGGTGATCGTACGAGAACCGGTGTTTCAGCGTGATTTGACCGTAAGCTATATATATATATATATATATATTATTTATTTTAGCACTTTAATTATATATATATATGTTGTGTATGATACACCTAATTTACATAAGTGGAGTACCGACCATATAAATATGGGTTGGTACCGGAAGACGACGGAAGATTAAGAGATCGAATCCAGAGACTCTGCCCGACTGCGACTTAGTCAACCCATTCTGCAGGAACAGTTTTCCCAAGAATATACCAAAACTACCTGTAAATATTGTGTACCTTTTTTCATTGTTTCAATACATTTTGTTACGTACATTTTGTGTTGTATTATTATTATTCCATGCTTATTCAAGCTTCAACAATATATATATATAATTAAAGTGCTAAAATAAATAATATATATTCACCATTTCTGAAATAGGTCTGTACTGGAACAACTTGGTTGGAAAAGAATTAAAACAAAGAAATAGGATAATCCCATTCACCTGAAATAGAAATCAGAAAAAAATATTGTTATTATTATTATTATTTTTTTTTTTTTTTTGAGTACTTGATAGATACTGAAAGCTAGCTTGGATCTGACAAGGCAAATGAAAATTAAGACTTGTAATAGAAATTTTGTGTCTGTTATTATCTCCCTTTAAGTGATTATTGTCAGATGGGAATATAGTCGAAGAACACACAGGTTGTAAGTGCTCTCATATCAAAAGGCTGCCCAAAGTCACCTAAAAATTTACATTTGATGTTTTTTGTTTAAATTTTCTTTTTCTTTATCAACTCTTTTGTCTATTTGCCAAGAAATAAAATTCCTTTTATTGTATTCTGACGTTTGGTTATTGTTTCTGATGAGGGAATTTTTTCACTGCTTTGATTGTCATTGAAGCAGCAATAGAAAAAATATGACCTACCAAGAACCTCTGAGTTTTGTTGGGCATGCAACAAACCACTAGACGTTTATGAACTTAGAGTTAGAAGATCTTGAGGAACAACTTTTGATTACACCTGTTTATTAGAACTGAAATCTCTAGGACACGATGAAGAAAGAAACCTAGAAAATTTAACACTTGCAGAACATTGAAGCAAGGAGTAACTGAGTAACTGAGTAACTGAATGAGTACAAAGTGGGATGATGGTAAAGGATCAGAATGCACAAAGTTGTGGAGAGGTATCATTGCTCATGTCCTGAAAGCATATGGCATATAAAACAAAAATAAATTAAAGATTTTTCAGCTTAAAATAATTCTGATAAAATTCTTGATACAATTTTCTTGTTTATTTACTGGAGAAGTCCGATTATGCTCTATTATAGATATTTCTTTTGTAAGTAAAAAATTCTTTTAATGAAAATTTAAAAATAATTGTGATGGTATTTTATTAAGAATATGTTAATATCTTTTTATAAAAAGTTTTTGGCAATTAATTTTGTTTTTATGCAAGATTGAATAACTATTTTTGGTTCTTTGTAGGAAGACAGATGTTATGAACCTTCTTGAGAGTGCTGGCTTCTCCAGAAGTAATCCTTACTATATTGTTAAACAAGGAAAGGTTGGTGTCACGTTCTCTCTTCAATATATACAAGAATCTCTTTTAACAATGATTTGATACTACAAAATTTAATTATCACCTTAAATAGCACTGATGTAAACATCTTAATATTAAAAAAAGAGGAAGGGGATATATTTTAGGACCTTTTGGCCAATCCTTTGTCAGAGAAAAATCGATGGTGAAACAATTATTCTTCTTTAAGAGGAATAATGAAATACAATTTTAAGAAAATAAATGGGAGAACAAAACTGGCACATGATTAAAATATAAAATAGTCTTAATCAAAGTTTAGAAAATCAATTCAATTTGTAAAATTAAAAACGAATAAAATTGATAAACAAACCTGAAAAAAGTTTCAGGAGAGGAGAAACAAAAATTAATGTTCTCCCCCAAAAGAAGGGAATGAACAAAAGTTTCCTTTTGTTGGCTAAGAGTAGGTTTTCTCAGTTTGATAGTGACTGCTTAAGAAGTATTAGGATGTTTACATCAGATCTATTTAATGTGATAATTAAGAATCTATATTATATATAAAAAAGAAATATTTGTTAGCAGTATAAGAAAAACAACTCATGATTTACCAGTAATAATTGAATGTATATTTATTTTCTTGAGGGTAAAAATGGAAAAAAATGCTTTTAGGTTATGAAAATTGCTGAAATATTGAAGCTTACTAATTGTGAGAAGTACATTCTTTTCAAAAATATTTTCATGAATAAGTAAAATTAATCATAAAAATGTCATGCTTGTTTTATCGAATATCTATTGAGTCAACCTGCACATTGGATGACAAAATGTATTTACATTAATATCTGAATAAAATGCCTTCATTAAAGGAGGTTATCTTTTAAAACCTTCCTCTGAGACAACATATTTAGGAATAATTTCTGTCTAAAGAAAATTATTAAAACTTTATAGCAACCACAAAAAACAAAAATTTAGATATTTAAAATTTATATAATGTGCATAATTTAAACCATTAATTTTTTTTTTTTGATTTCCACTAAAAATATAAGCAATACATTTTCATATGTATTTGAATTTTCTTATTTCTGCAGTTATATTGATAGATGATTATTGACATGTTACATTAATTTTGTTAAATGTTTTTTTATATAATTTTTTTTTTTGTGCAGATCAACCAAATGGCTACAGCTCCTGACTCCCAACGTCTCAAGCTGCTGAGAGAAGTTGCAGGAACTCGTGTGTATGATGAACGCAAAGAAGAAAGTAAAGTTATCCTCAGAGAAACAGGTGATATTAATAACTTGAATATTTTTTATATATTCAAAAAATATATAGCTAAACAATAATTTAATCACAAAGATTATTTAAAGTTAAAATATTCAGATATTGCCAAGAAGAACCTATTTAAATCATTTCCTCTGTGTGTGTGCATGTTATATTCCATGCTAATAGGAATATATACTTGAAAACAATGTGGATAAAATAAGTAAAGGTTTATTGTAAAAACTAGTACTATAAGAATAAAGGTAACAGTTATGCACAAGGTCGTCGCAAGTCAATCCAGTAGTGAGGGCTACTATTGGAAGGTTGGTAGTTCTCGCGTAAGTGAGTCGTACTCAACAGATACCAGCTAGACTCTAGTCCGTTGACTTACAGATACCTATAGTGTAGTTACTCATAGGGGTGACAAGTTATTCCATTATATCACCTCTCCCCAAGCTGAAATTTTCCTCTAGAAAATTTAGCTTTCTAATACTTTTTCTTTTTTGGGTCTGGACTTAACTGCACTGGGGGTTTTCTTTTCCCTGTACTCTTTTGAGGTGAATAACATCTTGCTCCTATGGGCAAAGCTGGTGTAGGAGATGCATCCATATGTTCTGGTATGTTATTGGGTGGTGTTATTTCAAACGTGTCATACAGGACATCCATCAGAGTTTTTTCATCATCAATTTCAGCATATTTTGGTCTTAGCAGGTTTACGTGCCTTTTGCATACACATCTTTTTCTTTTCACCATATAGATTACTCTTCCAATTTTATTTGAAATAATTCCATCCCCCCAAAAAAGCATTTTCCATCTCTGTAGTTCCTGAAGAAAACTTTGTCACAAGGTGTATACTTCGTTGCACAGAAATTCTCTTTGTTATGCATTTTCTTTTTTGGACAAGGCAACAATCTGTCAAATATTGATGTTATCTTTCTTGCAAACATCAATTCAGCAGTAGACTCGGAAACTACTAGGTTATTTTTCTTAAAATTTTACATGTAATCTTATTTTATTTATTTTTTTGACATTATAAAGTTTTGAAATGGTGGTTAAAGTTGCTAAGTTCCTTTTTCCTTGTTTATGAGATCCATAGAAGATTTCTTAACATTTCTGATGAAAAAAAAAAAAAAAAAGAAGCAAAAATCCATATAATGTTGATATAATACAGCAAGTGAAAAGAATTGCAAATAATCCTGTGTTTGTGTAGACACAGTAACTCCAAGAATTAGGTAGATTGGTAAAATTGACAGTTGATTTCATCGGATAAATATTTCAACATTGTTCATTGTTCATATTTTATAGTTGGGATTTGCATTTGTTCATATTTTGAATTAAAACTAGAGAAACTAAATTTGTTTTATAAACATTGTTCTTTTGAAGGCAAGGAAAATTCTGTTGCAATCAACCTTTACCTGCCATGAGTAATTAATATTTATATATTCATTTTTGGAGACAAATTGATATTTAGTAATATAAAACTTTACTTGATTTCTGGATTTTAACACTTATTCACTGAAGCATATTTTAATGGATAAATCAATTGAAGTAATTACTATTTAATAGTGTGTTTGTGATCCTTATTTGCATTATAAATGTCTTATTTGTCATGATAGTACTAAAATCCTAGGATTTTTACTGTAATCTCTTAGCATCTCATTTACCATAATTACCAATGTAAAACTTGACTTAGAAAGGAAATAAACTACCAAGTCACTTCAGTGACAAGAAAACACTAAAATATGGTTTCTATTTTGTAGAGGGCAAACGTGAAAAAATTAATGACCTGCTGAAATACATTGAAGAACGTTTGAAAACTTTGGAAGAGGAGAAAGAAGAACTAAAAGAATATCAGAAATGGGATAAAATGAGAAGGTTGGTGTATTGAGAAATAAAACAGTCAGGTTTAAAAATAAATTCCTTTTTTATTAAATACTTCCTTATATTAAGACTAGTAATGTGTGATTGCAAATATGTGCATATAAAAACAAAATTCACATTAAAATTAAAACAAAATCTATAAATTTGCATTCAGTTCTTGTACTTACATTTTTGATAGTGAATTAATGCTTTTGATATAAATTTTTGTCATGGGTGTATATATATATATATATATATATATGATGACAAAATGGAAAAGTTTTTGTGTGATTCATTTCACAATACTTTAAACAGAAATATGCTTTTTTATTTCTCACTGTGTTAATAAAATAACCTACTTAAAAATATACAGAAAATATAAGGTTAGATTTTAAAGTAACTTTTTACAGTGTTTCATAAAATATTAAATATATGATTCTAAATTATCTCTCAAAACAATTTGTCAATTTCTTTTTTTAGATCATTGGAATATACGATTCATGATCATGAACTGCGGGACACAAGAAAAAAACTGGATGAGGTAAAGCTAGATTGATTTATTGTGTAGATATAGGTAGATACAATTTAGGTGGCTGGTACCAGGAGCATTTTGAAAATGATGTAAGTCAAAGTCAAATAAAACAATTTACTACATGATAAAATATTTAAAGTTAATAAGCCGTGTTGGTTACTTTTTGAACATTTTTATTGGGGAAGAGATATAGATACTTTTGTCTTTTTTTTTACTTTTACATTTCTCAGTTGCTTGTTTATTAGTAATTAATTAGCAGTGTTTTGGTTCTTTTTTTTTTTTTTTTTTTTTTTTTTAAAGCCTTAATGATCCAATATACTACCGAAAAAAAGATGTTACCTTATTACTAATCATTTTATTGTTTTGGGGATACTTAATTTTAACTCTTACTGTTTATCCTTGTGAAATAGTTGAATTCCAAAATCAAATAATTCATATTTTATAGATTTTCTATTAGAAGAGTAATTTCTTCATAATTGTTTTAAACAAAAAGTTTGTTGCTAGGGGTTACTTGTCATTCTTTTATTATTGACGATGAAAATTTTGCAATGCATCTTTTGTTTGTAATGATAGAATGGTTAATTTTACTTGTAGAATAAAAGAAAAATCAACATTAAACTTCCAAACTGCAGTATAACCAAGCTTATTTGCGGCATATTTCTTTATCTGTTTAGAGATAAGCTGATAATTATTAGATCTTTATACATTTTACTTTCATCTTTATACATTTTACTTTCATCTTTATACATTTTACTTTCATCTTCATACATTTTACTTTCATCTTTATTTAATATTAATCATTTTTGGTTAGTAATGATGATGTTTTTGCATTTTTCCACAGAATAGTGTTGGGAAAGTTTTTTAATTTTTTTTTTTTATTTGATTTCTGTTATTTTTCAGCTGCAAGAGAAAAGAGAGAACAGTGGCAAAATAAGCCAAAGGCTACGAGATAACCAGCAGCAAGCTAACGACCAAGTAAAGGTTAGCCAGACTTTAATAATAGTCCAGTGGATTAAAACCTTGGTTTCTGAATTTGTTTGTATAATAATTACTCAATCCCTGGTACACTTTATGGTACAAACTTAGACTTAATGGAAACGGGACAAGTAATAACTGAACAGTGCTAAAATGAAGATGAGATATCCATAGATCTGAATAGTGAAATGAGAAAAATTTACCCTATTGTAATTGTGCTTGTTCCACCCTTCATTAGTTAGCATGACCATTACTTCCTGTCAATTACTCATAAATAATGGACTATTCTGTATTTTGATCACATGGAAAGAGAGGAAATGATATTACTTTCTTTCAGTGAGAAAATGAAAGAAAGAAAAAAAAGGAAGGGAAGATAGTATTTAATATCTGTCAATACCTCATAAATAATGGACTATTCCATTTTGATAAACAAAACATATCAGATGCTACTTGGGTTCATTGAGAAAATGAATAAAAAAAAAAGGAAAAACAACAGTTTAATGGTTGTTTCAGGAAAATGGAAAAAGTTATCAATTTTAAATCTTTTCATTTGAACACACTTAAAATAATGACAAGAATTCATATTTCATTGTTATTGCAATATTTAAAGTTGTTAAGCTCAAATATTTAACAAGGCAATAGGGGAATTTCTACAGATATCTTATTGCTGTAAAACTCGCCATGAGCTTACTCAATCATTAACTTAAGAATTAAGATTCATCAGTATATTAAAATAGGAAAAATTGAAATTTTTATGGGTCTTTTTAGTCCCCATAAATGATATAAAGAGTTCAGTTTGAAAATTCCCTGAAGGTGGCCTGGATTGATAGACAACTGTAGAAGGCTGGAGAGCACAACAGCCAAATGTGATAACAACAACAAAGATGGGGACATTAGTCTGACTGTAAACAATGTAAATAAGACCAGTGTCTTAATAACAAGCAGTATATGTTATCTAACATTGCTCAGATGTTCAAGTCTTTTGTAAAAAAAAAATACAATAAAGTATATCTTGTAGTGTAGTGAGATTGATATCTTTTAAAATAGTTGCATTTCTGTTTTCTCTTTAAAAAAAACCCCAAAAAACAAAGGACCTTTTTCAGCATTTAACCTAAGTCCATAATATTCAGATTATAAAATACCAAACTTTTATATCTTATGAAAGACTGATGAAATCTTTCAACCTGAATCATTTCCCAAAATCTAATCAAATGACCAAACAGATTTTTTCTTTTTGAATCATTTCTTGGTCAGACAGAACTTTTCAGTAATCTCTTGTATAAAGGTGTTAATTATTTCCTCTCGTTCCCTATGGAACATTGGGCGACTGTTTCTGTAGGAAGTTTATTATGTATGTAAGATTGCTAGCCTCACGCTTCATCCCTCCTCCTTTCTCAACGCAGGCTTGGAACTGGCTTTGGTGGAGTTGTATAGAGGTCATCTTTATACAACTCTTGTGATAAATGAATTGGTTTAAGCCTATTTGCAAGTGACTCAGCATTTTATACTTATGTTCCTTTTATTTAGCGTTATTTCCTTATGTGTTTTTGTTTGTCTGTTTACAAAATTAAACATGAGTAATTAAATGGTATGAATTAGAAAAAAATAGAAAGTTTTTATTGAATTGAATTAAAAAAAAAAGCATTCTGTAATTGTATAACAAGACAAAAAAAACTGATTTTACTCATAATTACATAATGGGAAAGAGGTTAACCATAAGAAGAAAAATATTTGTTTTAACCATTCTTGTATTTTAAAAATTCCTTTTTTAAATGTTTAATGGCAGGATATTTGAAAGAGAAACTTGGACACAACAGAAGTATTTTTTCTTTTTTGACTTCAGATGTTAGATTATCAAAAATGTCAATTGTAACTGATTATTTGTCTAATTGCTTAAATGTTCCATAAATCTTAATAATAATTGTAATAACCAACAACTGCCTAAGTAATAAGATGTTAAAGTGTGCATGTCCTTCCTCTGTTTAGCACCAGAATTTTTATTGTATTTTTGTTTTTACTCATTCACTTGCAGTCAATAAACAAAGAATTGCGTGACCTAAAGACACGTATGCAGAGTTTGTTAGAGGAGAAAGACACTTTGTCTCATGAGTACCAGGATTTGACCAAGAAAAAAGCCAAGGTAGAACTGACTATCAAAGATATTCTGGAGGAGATTGAAGGAGACAAGAGGTCAAGAGTAAGTTAACCTTTTTGGTGAAGATAACATAAGATTATCTGTTATAACAATCTTTATTTGTGTATAAGTTTGTGTGTGTTTGTGTGTTCTTATAAGTTGTGTATGCGTATGTCTTGTTATATTTATTGATAGAAAAAATCTGAAGATGATTTAAAGAAGATCGATGAGAAGATAAAGAGGTGTGAAGATCAGCTGGAAAATATCATTCCTATGTATGAGGCTCAAAAAAATCGTGAAGAAAATGCTGCACAGCAGTAAGTATTAACTTTAAAACCATTCACTTCAATACTTCTACTGATATTGTTCTAGCTTCTTTTATCATTAATAAGAGTTGATAGCACAATATACTTGGTTTGGGCTTTTTTTTTTTTTTAATTAACCTTCTGCGTCTTTGGAAAACTTGATTCCAAATTACTTACAAAGAAAAAATACACCAACTGGTTTTGCTATAGGAAATTCTCCTATACTTGTATTTTGATTGGTCATTCCAGCTTATGTAACAGCATTTCCCCTAGTGAGGGATGTTTGATTGATTTGAACCTTTTAAAACCCTTTATTTTACATTCAACACCATCACTTGATAAGACACCGGAAGTGTTGAAACAAAATGGCTATTTTTGTAGTGATTTTATAACATATTTGTTATAATTTTCAAATAAATAATTATATATATATATATATATAATGAAATGAGAATGAATAAAATATAAATTCAAATGTTCATAACATTAATTTAAAAATAGGGCTGGATACAATAGTAGAGTGATAATTCTTTAATATGGGATATTACATTCAAACATATGTTCAAACATAATATCCTATAATAAAATACATATACGTGTGTGTGTGTATATATATATATATATATATATATATATATATATATATATATATATATAATCTTATAATATTTATATTCTTGAAAATTTAAGAAATTGAAATTATTCAGTCATATACTAGAGTATATCTTTAAATTCAATGTAAAATTATCCAAATATTTATGAATAGGTTAATTTCTAAATAAGTTAAAAAAAAATAATTAAATGAATTTGTTTACTTATTCTAATAGGCTGTGTCTTGCTGAACAGAGGCGTAAGGAGTTGTATGCAAAGCAGGGGCGTGGCAATCAGTTTACCTCTCGAGAAGAGAGGGATACCTGGATTAAAAAGGAGCTGAGATCACTCAACAAAGCTATAAGAGATAAAGAAGATCAAGTAATTTTTATTTATTTTATGCTAATATTTGTAAAATAATGTTTAATATCATTTAATTATATCTTTTCAAGATGAAAAATGCAAAAGTTTAAAAGAAATATTTTGTGAACTTTGAATTCTCTTTAACTTTAGGGAATTAAATAATCTGCAAAAATATTTAAACCAATTTTAGTAGGATTAATTTATTTTATTGATATAGAAAAAATTGCAAAAGTTTTCTTTTTTATTTCAGATTCGTCGTTTGGAAGATGACTTGGAAGGTGACAAGAAGAAAGCTTCCGAGTTAGAAGTCAAAGTTAAGGTTTGTAAAAGCAAAGATTTTGAGAGAATTAAATACCATAAACTTGATCTGATTCAGCTAAATCAACAGAGAATGTCTTGAAGTAAATGTTTCTTAGGCTTGTATAAATGTCATCATAAAAATTACTTGGCTTTTTAAAAGTTTTTTATTATTATAATGAGACATGCTATTGTGTCTTATTAAACAGTCCATTGTTTTATGTGTAGATTAGATTACTCTTTTTTTTTACTTGTATTCTTTTTAGTGAAATAATTCAGGCTAATAAAATTATTCTTTAAGTTGATGAGAAATTCTATTTTTTTTTTTTTTTTTTCATTTCCTCAGGAAATTACCAACAAAATTGAACAGAACAAAGAGATCATTGATCAGAACAACAAGACATTCTTTGACATGAAGAAGAAAAAAGATCAGTCACAGAATGAGCGAAAGTTAGTTGATTTGGTGTTCTTTAAATTTTTTATTTATTGATAAATGCATTTACTTGCACATCTTTTCCTTTATATAGTGTTCAAGTATAATTATAAATTGATGCTTAATACTGCACTACCTTGAAAACTATGTTTCAAAAATTTAATTGATAACTCAATGTTTTACAAAGATTTCTGTAAATTTTAACTTGGGGAGAAATTGAAAATTGTTTTTATTTTGTTTTCAGTGCCTTATGGCGCCAAGAAAATATTTTGCAACAAGAATTGCAATCATGCCGAGAAGAACTAAGTAAAAAAGAACAAGCTTTAAGGTCTATAACTGGAAAGGTAGTTATCTTTGTTTTGAATCTTTTTCAAAAGGAATTCTTGTTACCAGCAAGATTATTAATTTTTTTATCGTAGTTAATTCAACGTGGAATAGTCAAATAAAGAAATGATTATGATATTGAAACAAAAATAACCAATATAAATTATATATTCATTAATTTATGGTCTTGTATTAATTTACTTTGGCTTTTAGAAGATTACTGATTCATTAGGTCTTGTTGAAATTTACTAAAAAATTTGGATGTTTTAAATTTAAAAAAAAAAAATTAAAATTTTTCACCAATCTGTAAAAGCAAAGAGAATGATTTGCCACAGTTTATTTTTAAATTTATATCAAAGACTTAAAAGCAGGTCACATGAGATTTTCTGAAATAGTTCAGATAAATTTTGATATTTTTTTTTTTTACAAATGCAAATCATTTTTGTTTCTCTTTACAGGCCATTTTAAATGGTATGGATGCTGTGCAAAAAGTATTAGACACATTCAAGTCACAAAATAAATACAAAGATTTAATTGATGGTTATTATGGTGTCCTTATTGAGAATTTTGATTGTGACAAGACTTTCTTCACTTGTGTGGAAGTTACTGCTGGAAATCGGTAAGTATGTATGTGAGTGCATATATATATATATATATATATATATATATATATATATATATATATATATATTAATACAAATACAAATAAAATTTGTCACTTAGCTGATTGATGTTATATTTAAGCACCTCAACTGGAGTTTCGTAGATGAACCTTTTGTAATCGTTCTGTCCTACTCGTCAGAAGGTATCAGCAAATATATTTCAGTAATAACTAAAAATATATTTGTCAAAGGACAATAGGAAGACAAAGGGAAACTTACCTTAGCCAACACCGTTTCATCCTCTAATGGATTTACCTTGATAACGTACTTCAGAGGGCGAGTTGGCTAAGATAAATTTTCTTTTTGTCTTTTTACATATATAAATATAAAAGTGAACATAGAAGTCAACACTTAGGGTGGCCTGATGACTTCTATGTTCACTTTTACACACACTCTATTTCTGATATTGAGCACTTTATCCCATAAATATAGCACATCTTAAGATTATATTTCTTCATATATATATATATATATATATATATATATATATATATATATATATATATATATATATATAAATAAACTGTAAACTGTAAAAAGATTCTGTTTTGTAAAAAACAGCTTCCCAGTTTAATTCTGAAAAATAATACAAGCAGTCTTTAAAGCGCTCAGTATCAGATTATAGCAACAAATGAAATTAATTATTCAACTTCTCTGTCTCTACTTGGAGTTGGATATGGTATCCAATTGACAATAAATTTGAATTTATTTACAGAAATTATCTTTTTCTTAAAAGGTGTTTACTTAAATTTTCTCTAAAAAAGTTAATTTATTTTGATCCATATTTCTTGTTTTTGATTGGTTGACAACTGTGGTGAAATTCTTCTCCGATTATATCTTTTTCTGTTTCTTGTGGGTCTCTTGATCACTAATATAATGTTGTGTTAGAAACTTACCACCAGTCAACCACTTCTTTTATTATAAGATTCTGTATCCTCTATAATGTTTTGTGTTTATTTTCTTCCACTTGTAATGTACAATTTTATTTATTGAAATGAGTCTTAGGGTTCATATAACATTAGACAATTCTGCTTTGGTTTTTCTCATAAATCTCAGCAAGTGATTGGTAGTTTCAGTTTTAATGCTTGATGTCCCCCCCCCTAATATTAACTGATTTTTATTTATTAATGCTTTTTCACTTGATATACATTTTGATAAAAATCTTTGTGCAATGATTTTGATATAGGATACAAATTTTGAAGGTGGAATTAAATTTTATGTACCTTAGGTTGAATATGATTTTTGAACAATTATTATTTGACATTGCCATCTGTCTACTTAGACAAGTGATTCATCTATTGAATACTTAGATAAATGTGGAACATTAATTGGTTGTGGATGAACATTGATTTTACTATTAAACAAATTATTTGTTATTTTTTTTTTTTTTTTTTTTTTAACCAAAATATTGGTTTCTTGGATTTTTTATTTTATTTTTTTTGTGGCTTTGGTTCTTATTGTTAGCCATTTTAGTGTTTTGTTTCTTAGTTAATGCACATCACTAAAAAAAAAAGAATCTAAGTTTCACATTGTTTAATCCCTGTGCGCATTCTTGAATTCATTCATTTTTAAAAAAATATTAAAAAATCATGCATAGCATTTAAGTGATTTTATAATATTTATATAAAGTTTTATATTATTGAATGAAATCATTGGTGTTAGTGTTCAAGTGAAAGCCAAGATTTTGAATGCTGATTTTCAACAGATCCATCCTATTGAAAAGATTCTTCCTAATTCAATTTCTTAATAGAAATTGATTATATCCACTTACAAAATGAATTTCATGGTAACAATGGGTCAACAGTTTTTTACATTTTATCAACATTTTTTATCTCTTGCTTATTTGCTTATCTAAATAAACAGCCTAAATATTTATTCTTATTCACTTGAAACATATTAAAAATGTTATATATTATAAGTAAAACTGTATGACATAATATCTTACTAGATAATTGTTTTGTGAGACATAAGCACACACACACATTTGATTACATGTATCCTACATCTTCTATTTGCCTGGCTTGAAAGTGAAACTGAGTTTTAATGTCTGTTCATTTTTACCTTTTTTGTTTTACAGGCTGTTCCATCACATTGTAGATACAGACAGGACTGGAACGAGAATTCTACAAGAAATGAATCGGCTCAAGTTACCAGGGGAGGTAACTTTTATGCCTCTCAATCGTCTGGATGGCAGAGATACTCAATATCCTGAAAGCAATGTTAGTATTAGACACATTTCATCACCAGTAACAGTAATACTTCATGCTTTGTTCAGCTTAATATAAATTTTATTTTTGAAACATATTTGAGCTGCTTTAGAGATGAAAAATAATCTACTTATCTGTTAGCACATTATTAAGTATATTGAATTAGATGCTGTTTTTTAAAGATATGAACAAAACACTCATTGATAGAAATACTTATAAATTGAATATTTTTAGTAAAATTGAAATATTCCTATCAAATCTAAGAACTAGCATGACTAATTGTTATAAACTTTATTTCTTTGTAGGATGCCATCCCCATGATTAGCAAAATGATGTTTGAGAAGAAGTTTGACCGTGCCATCAAGCACGTGTTTGGGAAAGTGATGATTTGTCGAAGTATAGAAGTTGCTACACAAATTGCAAGAACGCAGAATCTTGATTGTATCACGTTAGATGGTCAGTTCTGCTTTCTACCTTTATTCATTTAGAATTTGGAGAATTTTTTTTTTTATTTTAGTTTAGCTTTTTTTCTAAGAATTATAATTATTGCTTCACAACTTATGTAAAATGCACTGAGCTATTATTTTGTGATCCGTTTTAGTATACCTGTTGGAAAATAAATATTGGCTTTTCATTTGCAAAATATCATTGGGAATATGAGATGATTATTTACCTGTGTAAAATATCTATACTTGTGTGTGGGTGGGTGTGTAATATAATTTAACAAGTTATATTAAAATTGACCAACATGATATCTCAGAATTTTTTAATTTTACTTTGTTATATTTTTCCAGTTTGCTTATAAATTGTTACATATCTAGATAAAATGTATGGATAAACTATCCAAAGTTCATAGTTATTTATTCAAGTACTTTCAACCATCACTAGCTAATATCAGGAATATTTATTTTATCAGTCCCATAATGCAAATTTTTTACTAGCTTCATCCTGGATGAAATTTAAGAACACTGCATTTCTAATTTAAATACATGTATATTGTTTACAAATGACATCATGCATTGGAATCTTTGAAACTATATAAAAGGGATATACATTCTAAATTTTGAAAAAATTTAGTTTATTAGGGTATCACAAAACATCACAATGCCCCAGGAAGAAGATATTAAACATTAAGATACTACCAACTATATTGAAAGATATTGTTTAATGTGGATTGTTTTGTTTTGTTTTTTTATAATGATATATTTCTTTACAAGACATGTTATATAGTAGTATAGTATTCTCTAATGGAACTTATTGTAAAGAAAGACTCAAATGTTTACCACTTACATATTGTTATTAACTGTCCTGAACAGGATATATGATATAGACATATTTTTATTAGAAATGTAGTATTCCTAAAAATACCAGAGTGAAATTTAATCAGCATTTTTTATTATTGTAACTGATAATATTTCTAGAGATTAAAGTACTTAAATGAATGCATTATAAACAGTGAAAAGTTTTATCCTTAAATTTGATCTAACTGGCAAAATCCAATGAGAAATTAAACAGATTTTTGTCAGTCGATTTTAATAAAATTTGTTCAAATGAATTCTTGCTGTTTTTATCCATTTATATATATATATATATATATATATATATATATATATATATATATATATATATATGGCTGTTCATATCATCAGAATGAGTGATGATTGGATGCCGAAAATTCTCATGTATAGCCAACTTTTTCATGGTAAGTGTAATGTAGGCCATCCTTATTTATGCTTCAGGAACAAACTTAAATACAATCTAAATGCTGTAAACATCCCTATTGTGGAGTTCGAACTTGCTGTTGAAAGTTGAGCAAACTGGAGCAACACTTGCTACTGAGGTGTAACTAACTTTGAAAAGAATCATTTCAACCATCTGAGAGAATTAAGAACCAACACTAAATCTTGGGTTAATACATCAGCCCATATGACGGTCAACTCTTCATCATGTCTCTCGTTTGGACTTGTTTGCAAATCTTTTGCAGGATTGTTGTCTCATATGAAAAATAAACATAAAAATTGAATTGAAAGACACTCGTGTATCGAAAATGACAGAGTCAATCATATATGTACATATATATAATTTTGGGAAGTCGCTTGAGTTGAGAACATTTTAACATGTGTGCACACGCAGAATAAAAAATAATTTGAATTAGGGTGTAATGGTAGGGGATTTTCCTAATTCACATTGGGTCTAAAGGAAATCCTTTTTTTTTTTTTTTTTTTTTTTTTAAATGTATTAATTTTTATCACAGCAATAGAAATACAAAAACCTGATCTCATAAATATGAAGTAAAAAGAAATAAAATATGTGTAACTAATTTATTCATTTTATTTATCTTTGATTTGTTGTTCAAGTCTTATATTTTTTTTGCTGCTTTTAATTAATTTTAGTTTTTCTGAGACTTATTTGTTCAGCTTGTTCGTTGTGTTGATAATTTCTATTGAAATTGCTCTATAGATCTGAAAGGAAAATAACATCTTAACACATACAATAAAGCCAAAAGAACTGATTGATGCTTATAAATTTAGAATGTATTTTTTATATTGAAGAGGATTGATATTGAGGATGTTATAGAAATTTGTTGCTTTTAGTGTTTTTTTTTTTTTTTTTTTTAGATAAAAGTTAATTTTTCTTTAATCTTTAGTTTGTATGTACTCTTTTGCCAAAAAATGTCATTGCCTATTTCACTTCAAAAAGGTCTTTATATTTTATTATGCTTTTTGCTGTAATTTCTATTATGTATCATTGTTTTTTGTTTGTGTATTTTAGGTGACCAAGTAAGTCGTCGTGGTGCTCTGACGGGAGGTTACTATGACACTCGAAGGTCAAGGCTTGACCTCCAGAAAGGCAAATGTGAACTTATGAGAAAGCTTGAGAGCCAAAATGAGGAATACAAGGAACACAAGAAGAAACTAGAACATATCCTTTATTGACCATTTTCAGGAACCTTAACATCTTGTCTAGTTTACTTGGTACTCTGTAGGAGATTTGGTGATTGTTATTCTTAATAAACTTATTCAGGTTTAATCCAGTTTAATATTGTTTTCAGATTATTTATAACTAACATTATATATGGGAATAGTTAATTGCACCTTCAGTCTAAATGTTATAGGTTTTTTATCAATATTCATTATAATGTGAATTTGCATTTTCAAACAGTTTGTATAGTAAATTGGGATACAAAATAAACATTTAAAAAATAATGGCATATATTATAATTGAGAATGCATTCAGTAATAGTAATGTATTTAATAGAAAAATCTATATTTTTCAGATCAGAATAAGTTTATATATCTGAAATATAATTAAATATTGGATAATAATATTGAGGAATTTGTGAAAGAAGTCCAGCTTAATGTGTTAATTGCTGTAGCTTGTTCATAGTGTTTGAAAGGCTGCATCAGAAAATGAGTGAATTAAAAGGAAAACTTCCCATGTGATGTGAACTATGAACGTACAGAAGACAGTTTTGGTAGAGTAATTGATTTATTAAACTTTATACTCATCTTATTATTGACTTATGAGTGATATATTTCCCCACATCAAACATTTTGTAGGTTTATTAACAAAATTTCAAGACTATGCCTTTAGGTTTTTGGATTTCAGTCTGTTTAAATATTGTAAAAGCATAAGCATTTAAGATTTTTATGGGTTTAAAAATGTTATTCTAATAATCTATCATTTGTTTCTTTTTCTGTAATAGATAATTTTTTCATTTTTTTTTTATGTCAGATTTATTATTGTCCTTAACAATTTTCACAGATTGAAAGCCAGATTAATAGTCTTGTCAGTGAGATGCAGAAAAATGAAACTAAAAACAGTAAAAATAAGTAAGTTTTTTTCTTTAACCTTTATCAATCTGCTTTATTTATAAGAATTACTTCCCTTGCCGCTCTATATCGTGGCTCCCTTAACGAGAGTAGCCAAATACTCAATTTCAGTGAAGATCGTTTTCACTGTTGTGATAAGAATTAAAACACATTATTATTCAGTGATTAGTCATCTGCAATGACAGAACTAATTTTTTGCAGTGGGTTAAATTTTAGATTCTGTCTATATTTCTGAGATGAGGTATTATGTACATTATTTACATTATTTACATTATTTGGACTATTGTCCTCATCCTTGTCGCCATATTTATCACAACATTTCAGTCGTTGTATGCTCCAGCCTTCTTCAGGTGGTTGGAATGTCGAACTGATAACTGACATCCATCAAACATGGCACGTGAGATAACTGATATCCATGAAACATGGCACATGGAACTAGAACAGTCTACCCCAGTGAATGAAATAAAGGGTTCAGTTCAACATTCCAACCACCTGAAGAAGGCCGGTGCGTACAACGGCCAAAACGTTGTGATAAATATGGCGACAAAGATGAGGTTAAATTTTAATTTCATATAAAGAGTTTTGAGGCTTAATTGTTACTCTCATAGGCTCGAGGTCATGATCTGCAAGTATATTAACAACAGTGAGATACTGAAAATAAAATTAATTAAATTGAAGCCATGATGTGAAATTTTGGTTTGCAGGTTTATCACTTGAATACTGTAATTAGTAATCCAGGTTATAATAACATACAATGATAAATGAGTTTCTTATATAGATAGTTACACACTTATTATATAAAATAATGCCTCCAGATTTTTTTACTATTATAATAATAATTTGGTATACAAACAAGGTGAGCAGTAAAGGGGAAATTCATTAATCTTCCTTTATTTATATTTTTGCATTTATATTTCAGGGATACCTTTGATAAAATGCGGGCAGATGTACGTTTGATGAAGGAGGAACTTCAATCAATTGAAAAAGCCCGTGGACCAAAGGTAGGCACCATCTTCTGTGTTTTTTTTTTTTCCCCCCCCTTTTTTTCAGAAATTAATTTATTATAATAAACCTTGTGTAAAACATTTCAGATAGTATATCTGTAAAATGACAAAATGAATACTTATCGTAGCTGACACGTTTCGTCCTCTGAAGGATAAATAAACCTTGTATATTTTTGAGAAGAACCTTTCAAGTTTGGTGTAATTAAAATTAAGACGTTTTAAAGATTTCAGCTCTTCATTATCAATGCATTTGTCATACAAGTAATATAATTAGTTACTAATTGTTTCTAATATTGTTAAGTGTTTTTAAAGCTTTTGCATATAAAATGAAACCTAAAACTGCTCATACTTATTATGTATTTTCTTCTGAAATAAAAATAATTTTCTTCTTGTTTTGGCACAGACCACTTGATGTCTCAAGATGAGAGACATCTTTTAATATATAACAAAATTTATGCAAAGAGTTTTTTTTTTTCTTTAGGAGAAGAGTATAGCAAGTCTGCACACCAATTTGGAGGCAATGAAGGGGTCAGCGCAGTCGCTAAACGAAGAGCTCGGATCTGACCTGCTCTCCCAACTGAGTGTTGAGGATCAGCGAGAGGTTGATTATCTTAATGACCAAATCAAGACCCTGACCACTCAGAACAAGGAGGCTTTTCAAGAGAGAATCAGGGTGAGTTTCTCTCTTCATCTTATATCACTTTATTTTCTCATCCCACCTCTTTTTTCTCTTTTCTTTCTATCACAGTACATTGTCTTCTCTCTTTCCTACTACCTCTCTTTTAACATCTTTTTGTTTTTTCTCACTTTCAATTTATCACTCATTCTCATCCTTTTATTTTCCTTTTTGTTTTCTTAGCTATATTCCTGTTTCTCTCTTTTTACAATTAATTTCTTTGGCTATACCATCTCTTGGCTTTATCCAAAAGTATTCTATCATCAAACTCTCTCTATTTCTTATTTTCCATATTCTCTTGTTTTTTTTGTTCTCTTAGCATTTTATTGTTACTTATATCAACATTAGACAAACTACATACTTTATGAAGGCAAATTACAAAGTTCACAAGAGTTTGGTGATTGTGCCCTCTGGCTTTTTTCAGGGGTAGATTGTTTTTGTTTTGCTGTCTGTGTCTAAGGATATCTTTTTTTTTTTTTTTTTAAAGTATGGCTCAGTTAGTGCTTGCACTGTTTTCTCCTGAGTCTAAGGCTGTACTACCTGACCCAGGGATTGACCTCACAATTATTATGGTAGCAAACTTGTGAGTCAATGCTATTGTTTCATGGCCGGGTATTGTGATATAAGTTACTTATTTATTATAGTTGTTGCTTGCTTTGTTTCTACAGACTTGGACTCTGCAGAAACAAAGCAAGCAACAACTGAGCAGAACTAAAAAGTACAAGATGGGATTTCTTGAGACAGTGATAATGGAATGAGAACAGTCTACCCCGTAGAATAGATAGTGTTCAGTTTGAAATTTCCTGAAAGTTAACTGGATTGACACACAACTGAAAAAGGCTAGAGGGCACAAACAACAATGATGAAGACATTAGTCCAAATGTAAATAATGATAACTCCTGATCCCAGAAATTCAGATAAAAATTAAATTAAAACCATTAAACATGTTCTCTCTTCATATACCTTTTTCTTCTTTTTTTCATTCAGTATGTTTTTCTTTTCAAATTCCTTGCATATATTATTTCTGTAAATTTGGTATTGCATATTAATCAAAAAATCAAAAAAAAATTCTTCTTTGTTTCTCTCATTCTTTTCTTATTTTAACTTAATTTTCCTTTGTCTATAATTGTTATTATAGTTGGAGGGTGAGAAAAACAGACATGAAAATATGTTAAACAATAATTTAAAGAAGAAGAAGGACCGTTTTCTCCTTGAGATGCAGGAACACTCGAGCAATGATCGTCGTGAACGACTCGATTCCCTCAATGCTGAGCAGCAAGCTGTTGACCAGCGCGTGGCAGATAATAAAAAAAATGGGAAAGGTATTTTATTTACTTATTTATTTTTTGAGTCTATCTTTTTTATTTTCTTTTCTCATCTGTTATTTATCACTGCCTAATTGAACTTAGTTTATCTCAGTGTATCTGATTTTTTTTGATCTCAGGGTTTAATTGACTTAATTTAAATATGTGTTTTTTAATAGAATAAAATCTTTGAAAACTGAGACGATGTTGTTTTATGATTCATTCATATTGAATGTAAACAGTAATGCACCTTATGTACAAGGACAGTTTTGTAATTAACTTTTAAGTTAACTTTTTGTTATATACTGTATACTAATGTAACACTAATGGGTATGTATCAATCCTCATTACATTGAACACTATTGTAAGTGGGGGCAATATGCTGTCTAAGTAATCCATCACTAGCAGTGGTTTACCTACTTCACGCCGCTAATGAGTATTGTATTTTGTTGAGGTTATAAAGATTACCATTTCTTTTCTAACTTCCGTTTTTGGTTATTACTGAGTCAGTAATCCTCTCTAGGTTAAAACACTTTCCAAAATTCTGACTTCATAAAAAAAAAAAAAAAAATTTACTTTCAAAGTAAGTTTTTAGGTACATTACCTGTATCCTATAATGCTGTTCTATAACATACCTCAAAATATAGGTAGTATATTATTAAACTTATAAAGTTATTGAAATCTTCAAAATATTCAATTTTGCAGTATTGTGGTTGTATGCATAAGTTCAGTTAATGCAATGAATTTCCTTATTTAAAAAAAAACTTTATGAAGTGAATTTTAATTCTAATTTTTATTAATTTATTGGTCATTTATATTTTATTAAAAATAAAAACAAATCCTTATTTACTGATCTAAATAGCATTCCAAATTTTTCACTCTATACATGGAATGATTCTGATTCAAACGAACTAGTTTTTTAAGCATTTTCAGCTTTCAGTCACTTTTTTTATCTTGTACACTTATTTTATTTTTTTTCTTTCTTTTGCAGAATTGGATGAACAACTGGAAAAAATGAATAAAGAACAGAAGGAATTACAGAATAAACTGGAATACTGGAAGGTAATTTGATTTGCATTGAACAAATTGGGATTAATATTTCCCTGGTTTTGTTGTATTTAAAATTACACTCACATGAGACGGTCGTATTGATGACTGTTTCATGTCCCAGTTATCGCCCTTTGGACAGTAGATATCGTTTTAAACGGCGATAGAGCAGAAGAAAACATTGAAAACCCATTCTTAAAACTAAGATAAAAAGCAAACCTAAACATTAAAATTGCTTCATATACTTTTAGTTAAAAAAAATTAAAAATTTTATTTATATTCACATAAAATAAAATGCTAAACAAATATAGTATTACCATTTATGATTTACAGATTTTCATTGTTATTGTTTTTAACCCATTAATTCAGTATTAATTATAAAAATTAAAATAAAAATCTTGTATTGTATCCTATAGGATTAAAAAAAAAATCAGTATTAATTTTATATTTCTACTTTTAAACTAGGTACTTCCATTTTGTCGCTGAAAAAAAAAAAAATCATCTTCCCCAAACTTAATAAAAGTTTTATCATCAAAATATTTGTTAAAGACCAAAGTATTTTTTTATTATTTTATTAAATTTGTTAATCATTTCTAGCACATTTAAAATTTTGGTTAAAGATCTTATTTTTTTTTTTTTTCTTTATGTCAGCAGCTGACATAATATTTACAGTTAGTGTTTTAGCACTTTTTTCAGGTGAAAAACTCATTGATTTTGAAATTCTTGCAAAAATCAATGAAATTTTAATGAAACTTTCAGGACTTATTCACAAAAGAATGAAATTATTTTTGAATTTTTTTTTTTTTTTATTGAAAATCGTGGTAAAAAATTGTTATGCCCCATTTATTTAATTTCATGAGATTTCGAAAAATTAAATTTCAATATCAAAACTCCTTGGAGAATGTAAATCATTAATTTTTTTTTTTTTTCATACTACTGCACATTTCCAAAAAATCTGCTCTGAATCATGACATAATCAGAAAATAAGAGCAATGATTATAGTAAATTTAAATTCAACATTCCTAAAATTAGATTATGGAGAATACTTTTCAATATTTTTAAGATTACTTCTTAAATTATGTTTTAGCAAATAAAGTCTCCATAGAACACCAGGAAAGCTGTTGACACATTTTATCATCACTTGTGAAGTGACCTACGAATGACAAGCAATACTGATAAGTGCATAATCACTGCTACTGTTTGTTTTAAAAATCCATTTCCCTGTTACTTTAAACTAAAAGTAAATAATATTTTTACAAATCAGATTAATTATGTTTTAAATCATCTAATATTCTTCAAATAAAGTTTCAGAAATGTATATTTTACTTTTGGAAGATTTTTAAAACCAAGAATTAACTTTTGTTTATGTGTCAAAAATGGCTGATTTTCTGAAAACAACCAAAAAGTTGCGATATTAATCAATATAATTTCTATTTGAAATACGCCAGAGTATTTTGCTTACTGGAAATAGTAAATTTAATCATTTAGCTTTCAATTAAAGCTAAAATTAAAGCTTTATGAAAGCTTTTTGATTAATAAAAATTCATTTTAAACCAAGGTATTGAAAGTTAGTGGAGGTACCTATTTAAACCATTAATGCTCACTGTTCCAAAAATGGAACCAGGTAAATAATGTATTAATATAAAAGATACTGAGAAAAAATTTTACATCATAATTAAGTCAAAACTGAAGAAAAATCTAAAAATAATGGAAAATTACAGTGACTTTCAATCGAATAAAAATAATCTTGAAGTAATTAATTTTGTTGTTGCTTGACTATCAACTTCTTTGTCTGTTTTTATCATTGATAGATGTACATAAATGCAGTTCGGTTGTAGATAGAAAAATATTCCTTAGTTTTTTCAACAGATTTTCTTTCTTTTTAGCATTTCATTTTGTTTCTTTTTCTCTATATCAGTTTCCCATTCATTCTCTTTTTATTCTAGTTTCAAACTAAGCAGTTGTCTTTTTATTAAATTCCAAGAGTTGGTGAAAAAAATGCCTTTTAGATAACTGAATATATCAAATTTTGTGTGTAGTTTTTGCTATTGCACAATCATGAAAAAAATGATAGATTTTCATTCTTTACATGAAAATTTAGATTTGTTTTTTAATGTAAATGATTAAGTTTAGTAATATTTATATTTCCCAGGGCCAAGAACGAGAACAACAGGAGAAAATTAATGAAGATGCTAAAGAATTAGAAAAAATGACTAATAAACAGAGTTTGCTGTTGAAAAAGGTAAGAAAAATAAAGAAAGATGTTTAATGTTTTAATTTTGGTCAAAGCTTCTTTATAGAGAAGTTTCCTCTGGAATCTGTTTTCTTAACTCTATAAAAGTTGTCCTGCATACTGTGCCTTTCAGATATGTACTAATATAAGAAGAAAAATCAGATAATACAAAACAAAAGTCTACATTTCAGTTTTTGCCTTTTTTGAGTTTTCTTGTAATATGAGGAGAACATGGAAAAGTAGTCTCATTTGTTAGAGAATTATTGATTTATTAGCGAGTGACTATTTTAGGTGAAACTATTTTCAATGTATTTAAATTGCATTCATAATCATATGAAAACCCTGAATGAAATTTGCAGTATGACATTTGAAATGTTATGTCTCTCATTTTCCCTAATATTTATTTGCTCAGTTTTCTCATTTATAGAAGATTATATGTTGTGATGTTTTCTTTAATATCCCTGTTTATGGTAACAATATTGTAACAAGTTATAATGGTTAGAAGTTGAGTGCTTTAGTTTTTTTGATCCTTTTTTATGAAAATTCTGTCACAGGCCCCTAAAATGTTATTGTAAAATATTGACATTAATGTTCAGTATTTTGACAGTAGGTTTTAAGCTTGTCTCGTCACTGTTCACCTGCCATGTTTCCTGTTATTAAATTCAAAATGATGAAGTGGACTTTACTAGCCTCACTGTATATCAATAAAACTGCAGTCCCTGAAATGATAAATCATTTTCAGTTGATAAGAAAACAATTGTAAGTTTTATTTTTGGAAATTCTATGATCCTGCATAATGTCCTCTGTTATGACAGAGGTGGTGGCATTGACAGTATTAATCATGGCTACAGGATAAGATATTCTTATGTTTGTAAAACTAACTTTAACTTAGTCCTTTATATATTGCCAGGTGGTAGAACATATGTACTCTCTGAGTCACAACTTATTGTCTGTTTCTGTGGTTGGTGGAGAAAAATTATTTAAGATATGAATTGTTTGTGACTTAAAAAGCGAACTTCAAGATTATTTTCCACCAGGAAGTGTGGTTTCATCTGATTTGAAATTGGTTAGTCAATATAACTCCTAGCCAATCAAATAATGCCTAATCAAAAATATTCACAGAACACCTGTGCATTCATTGATATCATGTGTTGGGTCAAGTGATGGAAAATATATTTAAGTTTCTAGGGAATCAACAATTGTCTAGATTCATGAGGACAGAAAGAATGAGAAGAAAGTAAGTTTTAAAGTATAACCTTATTGTTTTGTACATCATTTGTGTAAAGGAATTGCTACCAGAGTCATCAGTCTGAAAAACTAAAACTTTTGGTTTCATTAAATAAAGAATTTGCAAGAAGTGATTATTGTTCTGAAAATCTCCTCTGCAAAAAGTTATTCAGTTTTTTTTACCTTTCCTGAGCTCTGGTAAAAACATGCAATGATAACAGCAAAAAATTGCAATATGAGCATTGGTAAAAATGGTTGCTGATGATATTAGGTTTATAATACCCAGAAATTCATACACAGATGTATTCAAGGACACATGGCACAATGGATAAAGGCATTGGTTTAGGACCCAAAAAGTGTGAGTTCAATACCCGGTTAAGGCAGTGGAGAACTTTCAGAGGGAAATTAACAGGAGATAACTGATACATTAAACATGGCACTTGGAACTAGAACAGTCTACCTCAGTGAGCGAAATAAAGGGTTAAGTTCGACATTCCAACCACCTGAAGACGGCAGGAGCATACAACGGCTGAAACGTTGTAATAAATATGGCGACAACAATGAGGACAATAGTCTGAATAATGCAAATAATGTACATAATACCTCATCTCAGAAATATAGGCGATTCCTGCTTCTTCTATTGAAAAATAGGCAGACATGACTGACTTCCACTAGAAATGCATATGACCCTCCACACTTCCAATAATTCTAAGTTTCATTTGCGCACATATTCTATAATATGCTACTTTCAACAATTAACAAAGTTAAATGTAATGTTTTATCTTTAACTTCTGCAAAAATAAAAAAAAAAACAGCAAAAAATGATCTTTAAATCACATCTGCGTTTCATCCCATAGAAAGTCACATTCTTTTTCTATTTACTGTAAATGCTTGACTTAGCACCTTGTTCCAAGGAATTTAAAGTAAGCACTCCTCTTGTCTTGTTTAGTTGCCCTCTCAGATGGTGACTAAATGAATATATTTGAGAAATGAAAAATGTAGATGTTGATATTAAAGACTGAACAATTTAAACAAAATATATTTGTGTTGAAAGTGACAGGTTATTCTTGTTTTTATGCTGCCTTGTGCAGTTCTTATAGATAAAAGATGAAAATGGATAAAAATTGCATTTTTTAAATAAGCATCCCTCTCTTCAAACAATATTTTTTAAATAGGTGCCTTGTGTGTTAAATCAAACATTTATGGTAAGTAATTTTATTACATTTTGTTCTATTCAAATTTTTGTGATCTTTTTTCATTTAAGAAAGATGAATGCATGAGGAAAATCAGAGAATTGGGTTCCCTTCCCAGTGATGCTTTTGAGAAATACCAGGATCTTAGTTTGAAACAGGTTTGTACTTCATTCATTCAGTCATTTCTTTCTGATTCTTTTTAAAAGTGATAGAAATTATGTCTCCAGCTGAAACAGTTTTTTTTTTCCCTCGTATTCTGGTGATTTTTTTTGTTTTTGTTTTGGATATTACTTCTTTTTTTTTTTTTTTTTTTTTTTTTTTTTTTCTTTCCTTTATTTTTATATTAGCTACTGGATGAATATTTATCAGTTTTAGTTCATATACTTTAATTGCAGATTCTCAGATGTACAATGTACTTATTTTCCAAGACTATTGGCATTTACTATAGCCAGAAAGTATTAGGTACTCAAGGAGCATAAAATATTTATGCAATAAATAATTAACTATGGGATTTAGGTTGTTTTTGCAGAATAATAGAAACAGTATAAATAGTACTCACCAGCTTTATCTTAAGATCAGTGTTTTTCAACCTTTTTAAGCAATGGCACACCTTGGAGCAAATGAAAATATCACAGCACACTTAGCAAAATTTTTAAAGGGTATAGATTTAAATGTTATGAAATAAAACCATAGATTTAAAAAAAAAAAAAAAAATACACACAAATATGAACTTAATTTCTGTTCAACTATTTCTGCAGAAACCTGTGTCTGATGTTTTTTTGCAATTTTTTCAATTCTTTCTTGTGATAAGCAGGCCTTCATTTCTTCTTCAGTTGAACATAATTTTTCTCACCTCTTATTTTTGATGTTATTTAGCGTTGAGAAGCCTAATTCACATAAATAAGTAGAAAATTGCAGTAAAACTGATAAAGCCTTTTTAGCTAAAGTGGGATAAAAAGTTTAATACTTATTCATTTATTCAAATACTAATGCTGTACCATTACTAGTTACAGACACACACACACACATGTATATTTTGTGACATGGCAGTTGAGAATCACTCTACTAGATCAAAAGATTATAATTATTAAAAAATGAGAGAAATAATGTCTTTGCACAAGTGATGTCTGGTTTTAGGAGTTATATGGATCTTCATCATCATCATTGAACTAGTTGGGTTCATTGAGCCAATTTGAATGATCCTTTCTTTAGCTGTATAGTATGTGCTACACCAGGGCTACATACAGTTTTCAATTCAGAGTTACTTTCTCCTAGACTAGTTGCCATCCAAGGCTATAAAACCCAGTCTGTCCTACTATTTGCCCATAGCTGGGGGGAGAAGAAGAGGATTCATACCTTTCCCAAAGATATTAGCACATAAGTGAATGTAATGGATCTGACTGGAATTCGAACTCTGCTCTCTGATTCCTCAGTCCGAGCCACTATCCATTACTCCACCATGATACGGATCTTAATGAAATTATCTATAAGATATTAATTGCATATGCATTATTTGATCAATGAGATAATTGATTTGAATGAATTCCATCATTGTTTTTTTATTTATTTTAAAGATCGCATGTAAAACTAGTCTAGAATAAAGTAAATTTTTTTTTCTTTGTTTTTTTAAACTCCATAAATCCAGTTATTTTTGTTGTCTAATGGAACTATTTTGTGAAAGTGGTGATGCTCTGGAAAAAAAAAAGGGTTGCTTAATTCAGTTAATCTGTCAGACAAAAAACTGATTTTTTTCTTTTTGATTTTTTTTTATTATTTTTGTAATGAAAACTTTTATGGCTGTAATAATTTTTATGTAAATCTCATGTTTCATCTGGTATCTTTAATGATGGATGGAAAATAACTGATTATAACTTATTGAAATATGACAACTAAAAAAAATTATAGATTGAAATTGTATATAGCATATTGTATAACATGATTGTATAACATGATTGTATAACATGATTGTATAACATGATTGTATAACATGATTGTATAACATGATTGTATAACATGATTGTATAACATGATTGTTTTTAACAGTTGTTCAAAAAACTGGAGCAGTGCAACCTGGAGCTTAAGAAATATAGCCACGTCAACAAGAAAGCACTTGACCAATTTATCAACTTTTCTGACCAAAAAGAAAAACTGATGAAAAGAAAAGCAGAATTAGACAGTGCTCATAAGGTGAGTTTTAAATTATATTTTACAAGTTTCTAAGATTTTTGTTTTCCTGATAGTTGTTACTTATAAATAAAATCTGTAATGCAGCTAACTTTGATAAAAAGAAAAAAAATTAAAATGAATAAAAATCTAACAGAGTGGCTCTTGAGACTTCTTTTTGTTCATTCTGGCAAAGTGATTACAAACCTCTGGTAGATAAAGTTTAAATAAAATTTTGGTAGTTTTGGTTAATTTTCTATATTTAAAAAGCCATAGTTCATTTTTAAAAGATGTATAAATCACTGTAAATTGAAGATGGTTTTAATAATAAAGCATGTAACTAGAAAAATGAACAAACAATTGGCTTTTATTTTTTTATTTTCTTGTTGAATTTAATCTGTACATGAACAAAATGTGTTCTCTTATGTAAAAGTGGTTTGTAATAAACTGTAAAACAGGTATATTATTTAAGTCAGTCTTTCAAACAAACTGGATATACATAATTTCAGCATTATAAAATATTGCCATGTTGTGGAGGTGAATAACTTGGATTAATTTGTAACTCAAAGACTTGCCATTTGTTCCCCTGATGAAATATTGGCCTATTCTTGAGAAATGACCACACAGAATTACTCCTTCATAAAATTTGGTGTGGGGAGGGGGAGGATGGGGTGACTATTATTGTGTACAATTGAAAGGCTATTGTCATTGTGGCTCCTCTTATTGGATGCATGCATGCTGATGATACATCTCTCTTTTGCCGTATTCTTCTTGTCTGTGATGATGAAACCTCAAACACAATATATTGTAGCAATAAATGTTTTTAAGTGAAATCAACCACATGCAGACAAAAAACAGACATTGAATCAGTTCTCTTTTTAGAGTTAAAAATTTTTCTCTTTCATAAATATCTTGAAATATATTTCTTATTGTGTCAAGGGAGATAAGCAAGGACATTCTCTTGTACTTCACCTAAAGTGAAAATAATTGTAGCTCCAAGGAAATGTTGATGTGAGAAAAAATTTGGTTAAAATATTTCAGTTCTTAACATTTTGGGGGTCAGGGCAATTATATTTTTTTCACCCATTTAAGATTAAGTTAACAGCTTTTCTAACTTTTCCCTTGATCTTACTGAAAATAATAATACCTATCTCACCTTTGTGAGATAGGTAGATAGGTATTATTGCTGTTTTTTTTCTATAGATGTGAATGAAGGTCTTTTATTTCATTTTTATTTTCTTTATATCCCCCGAAAGGAATAAGAAACAGAAAGGTCTCATTCTCTGTTATGTTTCTGAATTGTTTACTTTGATATCATACTCTAGCTCCAAAAGGCTGGGAACTAAATCTGATTGAATAGATTGTTTGATGTACCCCTTCCCTCATTGTAGAATATCTTAAAAGTGTTTGTATGTACACTTGAATAAAATAAAACATTTTTTTTCAATTTTTTTTATTCCTTTATAGTCCATTCTGGATTTAATGAATGCTCTGGATCATCGCAAATATGAAGCTATTCAGTTAACATTCAAACAGGTAAATAGTTAACAGATTTTTTTCACTGTTATTTACTTTCAAAATGAATGTGCTCTCTGCTTACATGTTTTTCTTTTAGGCCTTTTTGGCTTGTTTTCATTTTTTTTTTATTCTCACCCCAGGTTTTACTTTTGTAAATAATGTTACAAATTTTTACTTTTTATTCAAATTAAAAGTGCTATTGCTGTAAAATGTGTGTAACTTTGTATTTGATTAAGAAAAAAAGAATATAAAGATTGGTGATGAACTTTTATAAATCAAACTGGTAGTGAAGGAGTCTACTGTGAAGTTATAATAATCTTGATTATACAATGACAGAAGATAAAAATTCAATATGCTGAAAGGACAATGCCAATTATGATCTGGATACACTATTTATATACTAGTGGTAGATATACTGATAAAACGTTCACATTCTTCAGCCATTTTGTGATATAATAACATTTATACCAGTGCACTGTCTTTAGACTGTGATGTGTGCTGTGATATGGTTCAGTGTGGTGCAAGCTGGTATCATGCCATAAAGATACACATGTGCTCCTTTTGTTCTCCTTAAGAGGGGGGGGTTCAAATTGTGTGTCTTTATGGGGCCCCACAATTGCTGTGATGTGTTGGTGATGCTTCAGTGTTGGCAACAATAGACAAATGTACATTCCTACACATGTAGACCAGTTTCTGGAAGGTCATGAAGTAAAGATGCTTACCAAGATTTATGCACTGTAAGAGCAGCAGTGATAAGCTACCCTATGTACACAGCATAGATTGGAGTAAATGTGGCCCCAGATGTGTTGATAATGGACTGTTGGGAATCATTTATGTGCAACAGGACTAAGACATGTTGCCTCTAAACAGACTTCTACCACAGTATTGTCAGGCATGAGGATATTGACAGTGACAAAGTAAATTCTACCATCCTGCAAGTGATGATTGTGTGTACAATTTAGGCAAGGAGAGTAAGATGTATCTACATACAACTCCAAATCCTGGCATCATGGTGTTGGGTACCATAAGTTATAATTCTTACTTTCCTTTAGTGTTTGTGGAGGAAACATTAAGAACATTGTTCAACCTGTTCTGTTATCATATTCCTGCAAAAGTAAGGCAATATGTGGTTTCAGGGGGATAATGCTGGCCCACATGATGCCTGTGATAGTATGTTTTTGTGGTATGTTTAACAATTTTTCTAGCAGAGATTTGATCCCCCCTCCATTAAACATGGGACATGATGGGGCTAATACCTGCCTATTGCAGTTATTGCATCAACAAGTGTAAGTGAAATAATGCATTGAAGAATAATATTTAATATTTGTCTAATTGTATGTATGCAAATGTGTTAATGTCCAAAGAGGATATACAGTATATTAATAGTGGGCCTGAGTTTTGTTAAAGCACTTTTGGAATCTGGGTACACATATCTCTGTATGTTATCATTTGCTATAATCCAGCTCTATTACCTGCATGTTTAATCTTGAGTAACTTCAAATATGTACTTAGAGCATTGCAATTTTATTCCTTTTTTCATCAGTGTTTTATTGTAACCATTTACAAAAATTTCAATTCTCTGTGATAGTAGAACTGGCAGAATTCTATATCATTCTACATAATTTGAATTATGAGTTCACACAGGTCAAGTTAAAAGTATATTTATTTACTTTTAACTTGATATCAATTTTTTTTTTTGTTCTTGTCCAATTTTTCTTGAATTGCAATGTTAATTTAAAAACAAAAATAGATTATTCTAGCAATTAAAACGGACCTATCTATACATAAAACTCTTTGACTACATTAGTCTCTCCGTCCATCACACTCTAAAATAGCCACACATTGATGGATTGAAACCAAATGTTGGGGAGAAGTGCAAACTTTAAGGGGTACAAAGTACAATTGGTTTTAACAGGGTGCATAACTTTTATAAGTTTTATTATTTAACATGCAAAATACTCCTACTATTTTAAAAACAATTTAATGATTAAAACAACAAATACTTATCTTCTTGACAAAAAAATGTTCACGGTACTTCAACAATATTAAATTGATTAAGGATTTCAACATGCATCAGCATGTTGCAAAAAATTTCTAGTTGTAGAAATTTGTTTGTTGTAATTATTAAAAATATTTTCACTTAGGAGTTTTGCTTTCTCTTCCAAAATTCAGGTTTCAAAATACTTCACAGAAATATTCAAGAAACTTGTGCCACAAGGTCACGCTGTATTAGTAATGCGAAAAGGGGACCAGGAACACCAGGAGGTAAAAGTATACTTCGGCTGTGGCTTTGTTCAGTTTCAACACAACATGGAAATTGATATAATAAATCATCTTTCTCTTGCTACTACTCATACTATTTGAAAATTGTTCTTTTGAACTTTTCATTCGTAACAGTAATATATTTACAAAAGATTTCCTCAAAAGGAATAAAGATGTTAAATTTTGGATGAATGTAGTTTTTGCTAAACCTAAGAGAAAATATTAAATATAATTTTTATAAGGAAAATTAGTTTTTATCTTTAAATCCAAAAGTTTCTGCAATTAAATAAAATTAATTTAAACCTTGTGTTTTATAATTTTGTGTAGCTATTAACTGAATTGTACATTTTTGCTGTTATATCTCAGAAATTCCTGATTTATACAGTGAGAAGGAAGATTACTGAATTTGGTGAATTTGAAGTTAAAGCTGTTAATACTAAATTATCTAAATTGATCATTACTAATTATTTATAAAAATAGTGTAAAAAAACAAAACAAAAATCAGAACAAAAACTGACTGCTTATCAAGTTTTGAATATCCATTATTTGATTTTTCAGAATGAAGACAGCCAACAGTCTGGTGCTGATGTCCCCCTAGTGGAGCAGTTCACAGGTGTAGGAATTAAGGTAGAGGATTTTCTTTTCTTTTTATAAACACTTTCAATGTTATAATATTTTGTAATAAAAACATTTTAAAAAATAACCCAAGAGAATAGTTATAAATTGGAAAATAAGTAAAGAGATTAATGACTAATCCAGAATGTGGAAACTTGGGTAAGCATCTGTAAACTTGGGGGGGGGGGTTGTTAATAAAATATTGATTTTGTTTAAGAATGTTTTTCAGTATTACTATATTTTTTTTTTCTTTAAAATTGACTTTTTATTTTTTTTAAAAAAAACATTTGTTTTCTGTTTCTGTTGTAGGTGTCTTTCACAGGCAATAAAGCTGAGATGAGAGACATGCAACAGCTTTCTGGTGGCCAAAAATCTCTTGTGGCCCTAACTCTCATCTTTGCCATCCAGAAATGTGATCCAGCTCCCTTCTATCTCTTTGATGAAATTGATCAGGCACTTGATGCCCAACATCGTAAAGCTGTTGCCGGTAAGAGATTTTTATTGGTGGGACTATCATTGAAAGACGGTGATCATAAAAATCTACTTAGATAAAGTTTTATTGAAGAATCTATCAGGCTTTTGGCATTTAAAAGATTTGAAGAGATTACAGTATTTTTATAAAATAAACTTCAATATATTTTAAACTTCTGTGCAGTTATTTCATGAATGTTGCCTTGTAGCTGAAACAAGATAATGAACTGAGGTTTCTGAAACATTGTTTGTGTAATATTAATAATTTAATATGATTTAATATCAATAGTTTGAAAAATGAAAGTGTAGGGAATGTAATTTTGGAAGATGGGGTCTGATTTATTGGATATTTGGAGTTTTATGTAAAAATAGAGGACTTAATTGTTCTGGCATAATTTGCCACTTGTGAGCATTAAAAGAAATGCACAATACAGATTGCAGTGGTACAATGGTTAAGAAGTTCAATATTCACTGGCTACTCTAGCCTTGTGCCAAACTAAGCTAAACAAATCTCAGTACAGTTTATGCATATATTCAGTGCTTATGGAGCAAAACTTGGCAAATGACATGACATCTCTAAAAAAGACTTTTGAATGTAAATATTTGCGTAAACTATCAGCAGGCGGTAATTGCACCAATATGGGAAATACAGAAGAAAAAGTTTATAAAAAGAAAGTAGTCATTTAAATGATTTTTAAGTAGAGAAAAAGGTGCAGATTTGAAATAAATTAATTTTAGTATTTTTATTTCTGTCACTGCAACCAATGGACATATTTTCTTTATATTTATTCAAACTTTTTTTTTTTTTTTGCTTAAAAAATGTAATGGTAAACATAAGAAGTTTGAAAATGTAGTCTTTAACTGAAAGTTATCTTCTACCTAACAACACTGGCAGTTTAATTTTATATAGTTTTTTTTTCTTTACTAATTTACTATGGAGGTGGCTTAATAGTTCTGGAAATAGAATTGGTGAATTAACTTCAAACTCTAGATGAGAAAGTTTGGATTTACTTCACACTAATTTCTGTGAGGAAAAGCACAGATCAACTGTTCTTCCAGCTTTGGGTAAAAAGTAATCCATCTTGAGGGGAGGGTTAATAAAGGTAAAGTCAGATTAGAGATCCTTCTGTGCTGTTAATACTAGTACAACCTATCGCAGATGGTAACTGCTAAGTACCACTGCCCACTGCCCCATTATTCTGTACTCTATGAGATAACACAAAGGGGGTTTACTTGGCATGGCACCCTTAATAAGTCTTGGGAAATGTCCACATTTCATAGTAGTTGGCCGATTAAAATTGTTTCACTTTTTAACTTATACATGTATTACTAATTAATTTCCTCTTCACATATTTTTGTATGGTGGTAATTAAAAAACATTTTTCTTGTTTATAATCATTTTCTATTGTAATTTCTTAATGAAAAATATTTTTGAAGACTCAGTTTTGTTTTGGGATGAATAGCAGCAACAATTTGTCAATTGAAATCAAATATGGAGTAATTGCTTAATTCATTGTTAATTCATTTCAAGCACTTGTAGCATGGATATTGTTCCAGCTAATTTAAAGTTAAATTTCTGATTATACAAGTTGCAAGGTTGATTTTGAAAATAGTGTGTATGGATTTTTTAAAGATTTTTCTTGCTTGATGCTTTATTTTTCTTTAAATAAATGTCTTGATTAATTTTACTTATTAATCTTTTCCTCCTTCTACTTAGACATGATCCATGAGTTATCCACTAATGCTCAATTCATCACCACCACATTCCGACCAGAACTGCTGGAACATTCTGATAAATTCTATGGTGTAAAATTTAGGAATAAGGTAAGAATTGGAATTTTGAATTTCTTTTTATTTAATAACATTTATTTATTAATTTTGTTGCATCTCATGAACATGGTAGTCAATAGACTACCATTGTTCAGCATTTAAGTATTTTTTATGTCAGTGTTCAAATTGATTTTTATTAGCTGATCAATGAAGAATATAAAACTTCTGTAAATGCTTTTTCTGTTGACCAACTAGTACATATCAAATTATTTCAGAATTACTTTTAATAATTTTAAACAGCTATCATGTCCTTTCATATGCTTTGAATGTAAATACTTTTAGGTTTGATTTATATTCATTTCTCAGTTAAGCTTCTTTCTAGAAGTGTTGATATTTCACTGCCCAGTTATGTATTAAACCAATGGTTCCCAAATTTCTTTTTTTCTGGGCTGCATTTTCAGAATTAAAATACCTCACTAAATTTTATGTGATAAAAAAAAGTACATGTACAAAAATACTGGCTCAGGGGAAGCAGCCCTATAGTAAAGAAGACACACACACAAATACCCACACCCGCAGATTCAAAGTCAGAACATAATCATTGATAAATCTCTCTTCCGATTTGCGAACCCTAGTTACTATATTCTTAATGCTTGATATAATGCAAAAATATCACAATGATAAAATCAGTCAATAATTATTTATAACTATTTATACTGGGAATCATGCATAAGTAATCCATAATAATATTTTAAATTTTGAAATTGTATTTATTTTTGGCATATGAATTTTTTGAAACTATTTCAAAATCTTTCAATCATTCGGCTTCACTTGCTATCCACTTCCATCACACCTTTGAGGTGTGCCACCCCACCATTTGGGAACCACTGTTTTAACCTATAATGTGTTTATAAAAGAATTATTTTTAACAAATTCTCATGTTGCAGAGAATGTATTTTATATATTTAGGAGGTAAATATTGCACATGAATATTTTCTTCTTTCTCACAGGTCAGCCACGTTGATTGTGTTACACGAGAAGAAGCTCATAGCTTTGTTGAGGATGATGCCACCCGTGGTTGAAAAACAAAATGTGCAAATATGTGTTGTTGCCATTATTACCTTGAGGCACACACCCACACACACAGATATGGTCATGTCCGCCACGTATCTCACCAAACCTCAAGCTTAATTCACTGCTTTTCATCCATTCGTCAATATTGCAAATATTTCTTTTGTTTGCATCAGCAAATCTTTTTAACTTTCATCAATTCTCTCTATTCGTTCTCATTCGTACTTGTATATCACTTTATAGTGTAATATATTTGTAACGTCTTCTGTTACTAGGTTTGACTGTATGGCTGTTGGAACTCTGATGACAAGACAGTATTAGCAGATCTTGAGTGGCCATTAGTTTCATTATCCATTCACCGATAATTGTCCTCGATTAGATGTCATGTTCTTGCAATATATTTTGACTTTTTTGTGTAATAATTTCATTTATTCTTTTTCCCCACTCTCCTTTGTTTCTCTGGAGTGTCCTCTCTTTCTCTCTTTTTGTTATTTACCTTTTCTTTTTTTTTTTCCTCCTCCTCCTCCTCCTCCTCCTTTGTTCCTCTCTCATTCATTATTTCTTCTCTTCATACACCCTTTGCCAACCACATACGCATAAATTCTTATTCTTACATTCTTCTGTATATTTTATTTAAAATTGACATTGCGTGTTGATTTAGATTTTAATTTACTCATTCATGTCACTCATCAAATCAATCGAAAATAGTGGGGGGAGACAAATGATTAGTATTTTTAATTTTTAGATTCACATTTGTCGATGCTCTTTTAGTAACCTTCAATACAAATGTGTGCATATCTCTTATTGTGTACACTGATCATCTTCTTAAAAATTTTATCGCTTTTTATAATAATGAATAAAAACATGATTTTAAATCATTTGAATACATAGTTTTTAATAGACATATTTTACATTAGATAAATACTCTTGTTTAGCAGGAAGCAATTGGTGTGTGTGTGCAAAAGTTTCCAGACATTTTTGTAAATTATGAACTACTTCTATTAACTAAAGTTTCTTACTCATCAAAACATTTTAATTCACTTTCTATGACTGTACACCAATGAACTGGAAGTTTTAAAATTCTGTCTTGATAAAACAACATTGGCAATAAAGTTTTCAATTAAATTTTGAACATTGAAGACTAATTTTTGAACCAGTTATAAAATGCTCTGTTGATCAAAAATGATTGTCCAATGGTGCCAATTCTGGCAAATATGCCATGTAAGGAAGAATTTCATAGCCTAACTCATAATTTTTTGTATTGGCAGAGCAATGTTTGGATAAGTATTGTCATGCAACAGTATAACTTTCCAGTTTCCATTTCTGTAAATGGCCTTTTTTTCTTTGATTATAATACAGCACTCAGTCTTAGAAAGTAATGCTTTTTACTAATAATTTTTCTAGACTTCAGTAATTTGTATATCCTACCAAATATAGAACAATCATTTTTTTTTTTTCCAAAATGGTTTTTCTCTTGATATTGCAACTGTTTTGGATCCACCTCTGAATTTTTTTATGCTTCAGATTTTCATGGGAAACTCATTTTTCCATTTCCAGAGACAGTCTTCCACAAAAAAGATTTTATGTCTGGCAAGAACTGAAATGCAAAGATGCTGTCCAATTCTGGCAATTCATGTGCAATCCATTTTCTTTGTTTTTGAATCTTCCTCATACTTTGTAAACATCTTAAAACTGTTGAGTGATTGACACTGTTGTTCTCTACCATGGTGGTTTGTTGTCCAAGTCAAATTCACATTTCTTGAACTTTGCAAACCATTCATGACATTTACTGCTTTCAGTTGTGCCATTTCCATAAGCTTCATCAATTACTTTCTTCACTTTTGCTATTGTATAACTTGAAAACAAATATGAGTAGCTTTTCTCTTTTTTTTTTACAGAAAATACAGAACTCTCAAAAGTTTTCAGCTATTTAATCAGTTTGTAGTTTCCAAAAAGGATGACACAGGGAACTTTTACACACACCTAATAATTGCTTTATATTAAAAAAAAAAATCTAGTTAAGTAACTTGATGGACTGATTGATGGTTTTTGAGTATGGATTAAAATTTGTTCCACTGATTATTTTTTCATTGTTGATTTTAACAATAGGGATAGACATCATTGAAATAATTAAGTGCAGTGAAAATTTTTATCCTAGTTTTGTAGAATCATTTCAGTAAAAAATCCGTAACATTTATTTAAATTTCTAATTAATCAAATTGAATAATTGGTGGTAGTGGATATTTGAATGACACTTTGCAAAATATCTTATTTCCTACAATCACATTTAAAGCATTAATTTCATTTATCTTCGGTAATATTATGTAATGTATTAAATACTTGAAAGCTCAATTGATGGCACTTACATAGAAATAGAACTTACATTATTAAACATGAGATTTTTTTTATTATTATTTATCCTTGTTGATTAGACTTTTCATGGAATTTTTTATGTTCATTTTAGTATTTTGTTAAATTCTTTTGGATTGGGTGTCATGGTCCCCTAATTCAAGGGATTGTTTATGTTGAATAATTATGCTTGGTTTGAGTTTTAAATCCATTAGCTCATAAAACCTAGAATAATTGGCTGATTTATTGTGTGATAAACTAGAAAATTGCATGACACTCATAGGGTATATTGAAGAATAATTGTTTGAAGGCTACATTTAGTAATCAAAGTATAAAGATTAAGCTTAAAATGTCCTTATAGAGATTGATCTCTGACTGGGAATGAAACAAAAACTTCTTAGCATTATTCTGCATTTAGTGTTTCTACTCCAACATATTTGGTTCTGATTATGAACATAAGATTCTATTTTTTACTAAATAACAATATCACAACCGAAATAGTCAAAGCATTGAGATTTCAATCTTGGTTTTTAATCCAGTAAATTAATGTTAATAAATCTGACCATTAATAGATTGTTATTATTTTCTTTTGTATATATAAGTGTAAAAAAGAAAAAAAAAAAAAGAAAACTGTGTTGCTTGCTCTGTTGAGCATGTTACTTTGGTCTGTCTATCCATCCAGCCATACAAAGTAATAACCCTTACTAATCCTTCTGTTCATCAACTATTGAAAAAAATTGTTAAAAACATGTATTGTCTTCATGTTTCACTCAGAATTCAGGCGTACTGTTTTCTGTACTTAGCCCTTCACAAATACACATAATGTTTCTTGCCGTACATCAAAATATAACATTTGAGTGGTACCCTGGCTCAACTAGCCAGGTTACCAGGAGAGCTGGGAGGCTATTATACTCTTGTTAGGCTTGAGAAAGCCCGTCACATCCCCACATTAAAATGAGGTCAGTCTTTAAAATCCAGTATTCAAACGAAATTGAAGGTGTTGGGTTTGTGGCTAATTTGGTAAAAATATTTTTTGATTGTTCTGCTTGGGTTTGAGCCAAGAAATGGATACTTTGACGCTGAGCAAGTCTTTCTCACCCCACTTGCTTGATGTCATATTTATAAAACCCATAACCTTCAAGTGGTACATAAAATAATCAAGATGTAAATTCTTTGACCAAGTTTGAGTCTTGGAGTGGACCCTAGGCAAGTTGTTTTTTTGTTTTTTTTTTTTTTCCCTTACTTGCTGAAATCAGTCTTGTACTGGTAAAATGGTCCAGATTAATATCAATGTGCTGAAGCTGTGGTTCTTCTAGAATTATTAGTTAGCCCATGAGCAGGTATTTGGATACTTTTTTGCACTTGCATGTCTAAGCTTGATTAATAATTAAAGAGTAGATGTTGTGGACATTTTTTTTTTACCTTCACTATTCAGTAGTTGTAAAAATCTACAATATATCTGCTTTTTGCATAAAAAAAAAAAAAAGTTGGTGTCATTACTCACTAGGAAATGATAAATATATAAAGCAATTGAGCCTATAACAAGGCAGTTTCACTTTTTGTCCAATTTAAAAAAAAAAAAGCTAATCAATATCAGATATTGGGTGCCATAACTCATTTACTAAATATTTATCCTTATATGGTTTTGAGTCTGGAAAATGGATTGCTCACATTATTTATTAACAGTTTTGAGCCTAGAAATTATTTTTTTATGGTTGTAAAAATGTTATACAGTCATATCCAAATTGCACCAAGTAACTGAGAACAAATTATAGAGAAAAACAGATATTCAACAGGAAAAACTAGTATAAAAATTATAAATAAAATGACTATATCTGGATCAGGTATATTCTTGCTAATATGTTGGGTCATAAAGTCCATGATTGGTGGTCTTCACTGAGGCTGTTGGTTGCTCTCCATCTCAATGTCTCAGATGTATTAGTCCAGAGATCAGGAGAGCTTGGATACTTCATTGGTTAGGGGAGTGACATGATAGTGGAAATTCTCAGCTAGCCATGGGGAGGGAACAAAGTCCTGTTGTAATACATATGGACTCCCTTGATGATCCAGGGCTTGACCACCATGTCCAGTGTCGATGTAGGTATTGGTAATCACCCCCCGAGAGAAGGGATAGGACAGCATGACATTTTACGACACCCAAGACCATCACACATGATGTAAATTTGTTTTGTCTCATTGTGGGTACCTTTGGGGTGTGTGAAATGGCAACTATCATTCTTTTAGTCCTGGATTGTATTGGACAAGAACTGTCCCTTCCTCATCATGTAGAAGATGAACCTTGCTCACCACTCATCTCATAGTAGACTCTACCACCTTGAGCTGCTCAGTGATGGCTCTTATCAATTTGCTGGGGTGGTGTTTGATGATGTCATGAGCCTGCTGGATGAACTATGCCGTCCTTACAACATTGTCAGGTTTCTTAGAATTAATGATTCATTCCCATGAAAGGCCTCAAGCTCATTTCCTGGTTTTGAAGAGAAATGACATCTCAGAGTTGCTGTGGTTGTTCATTTGTACCATGAGCAAAGTGTGCCTTTTCATTTCCTGTGTCAGACTTAGAAACTGTCATGTTAATGCACTTGATAAGTCTGAAAGAGAAATGAGAACGTTAAAATTTGCCACATGCCACGTATCATTACGTTAGGTCGTCTTCCATTTATTCACCATTAAAGGTTTGTTCTCAAATATTTGGGGCATTCTGGTATATAAAACTAACTAGCTTATATTGCTGCTCACCTGGTGCAAGCATTCTTTTGAGTTTATATCTAGAAAGAACTTATGTCATATATATATATATATATATATATATATATATATATATATATATATATCATTTGTATTTGCCATTCTGATAGCTGCATTGAGATAGAAGTGTTCTTTAAAGTCATCTGACACCTGCATGTTGAAGTTCATTAGTCCACACCTGGAAAACCACTGAAAAGCACTTTGAAAAAAAATAAAAATAAATATGAGCATAAATATTTTTTTTTTTTTTTTTCTTAAAAATAATTTTGTTCTCTTGCTGCTAAATTCAGCTGTTTCAATATTTTGTTTCATTTCATTAACATTTCATTTTGTTCTATCATTCGGCTTTGCTTTTGAAAACATTTTTCTTGCTTTCTGAGTGAAAGCGGGAGATGACTCAAAAATTGTGGCATCTTCTTATAGAAATCTCAATTCCACTATCAACAACAAAATTAAATTCCAGAAACAAAACAAAAAAAAAAATT